GGGGATCGATGGAGATAGGAGAAAGGTTTTGAGGACAGGGTAGATTATGTAATAAATGTCAAGATCGAGTGTAACACGATTTTAGCATGAAGAATGTTGTGAAAAATTCATAATACCAATGGGGAGAAAGCTTTTCTTTATCATTCCACTTTTTTCAATGTCCTGAATTTTAATATTCTTTACGCTCGAATTGGAAATGAAAAAGCCTTTCATTTTTCGCTGGAGCATGAGTAAAATTCTACTATACTGTTTAGACACGTCCAGAAATTGTGCAATGCGATGCACATTTCAACGCATACGTGATTGTCATATTTAATGCTTCATTTTTTACGCCAAATGCCTTTACAAATTACCCATTGAATAAAATTTTCCCCCTATTTATAAAATTAATGGAGCAATTCCCAGAGAATACATCGCTATACAAATAAAATAGTAATTATTCCCAAATGCCCGTGAACGCGTTAACAATGCAGTAATAAAAAACCAACAATTGAATATAACTCTCTCAAACTTTTGAGTAAGATTATATAATCCATTGTTATACATTCACGCATTATGAACTTTATCATAATCAAAAATAATGGCATTGCGACAGAATGACCAACTCATTATAAAAATTATAGTTTCTCGTGAAATTTCACTGCAATTTAAAATGACCAGAACCGAGAAAATAAAATGCAAAAAATAGTTTGAGACAATGCAGGTCTGGACCTTCCCCTCTATTATTTCCCCATCAATGGAGTATGAAGAGAGAAAAAAAAATTGTTCGCTTTCATCCCCCTCCAGTTTATCCCATCGTAGCTAATATAATATTCTAGGCAATTACAGAGTTTGCGGATCAAACAGAGGGACACGTTTCCCCTGGTGGTGTTCGTGTCGTTGTGGCAGTTAGAAACCTCTGTGAAACGGGCCTTCGCCTCGGGTTCAATCCAGTATTCACCACGGGGGGTGTTCTAAGATGTTATATTCTTCGTATTATTTTTACTATCCCTATCGACTGTGTTGATCGATCTCATGTTTACCCACCACTATTATCGATTTAGCATCTATGTAATAATTATTCTTACATTATGAGTATTTGATATTTAGATGTTGAACGCTCGAGAACATAAATTTTTAATGTTAATGGCCATATTTGGGAGAACGGTCGTTAATAAATCATCTCTCTGATATAAATCAATATGTTTATAAATAGGGTTGAATATATTCGAGGGAGATTTCAATGTATTTTATTGAGGGAATATTTGAAACACTATTAATGCTTTTCTTTTCCATTTTTTCCATTTATTACTTCTTTCGCTTACGGGGTGAAGGATGCATAAGTCAATATTGTTAACCGCGTTTGTTCACTCTACACGATGAAAAAATTACCGAACAATAAATAAACAGAAGCATCTAATTGTGTTAAGGCTGATGTTTTCCCTGAGATAAAAAAATTTCTCTATGTTTTTTTTTTCAGCAAGCACTAGAAACATTTTAAATCCTCTGAGAATGTTAAACGATTTAACAGCATAATTCTTACGAAATCTGCCATATGGTTAAAGTTCTCACGTTCACGGCAACCAATACGTAAAATGTATTTTTCGTCTTGGGACAATTTTATTTTACGAAATTCAACGAGTTACAATGTACGTTCTACTTTTTCAGCGATTGCGTTTGGGAGACGCGGTCACAAGGGGGCGTTGCGCGATCCTTCAAAGGGGTTTGGTTATCTTTTTTGAGTTGAATCTCATCTTTACCGCATGTTACACTATATCACACTCTAGAGGGGAAATGGTTTTTAGGAAGAAAACAAGTACGGTTGCGATGCATGGTGTTACCACACATGCAACTCGGTGGTTCCCACCGGCTCCTGGATACGAGTGATTCGTTGGACGATCATGCTTGGGATTACATGACAGTGTACATGTAGATTTAATGGAAAAAGTAAATGTAAAAAATAAAGACCAAGATGGCACCTCAAGAATACTAACTCTAATCTCTTGTATCATTTGTTTTATAATCGGTTGACACAGTTTTTTCTCACTCACTTGTCATCACTCTTATCTAGTATTATATAATTGAATATAATATTCGTAGAGAATCGATAAGTTTTTATCAATTTGAGGATCGAACGGGCTTGATAGAGTGAATTTTTGGAAGAATTGGGGGGGGAAAGGGGAGAGACCAATCGAATCGGAAGGAACCGAATTACACGGCTTTTGCATCACTCCTTTTAGATACACAATTTACCATTCACAGCGCAAACGCAAGCGAACCAGTAAAATCGGAATATCCCCTGAAAGAACGTGACCCGAACGAGACTTTTTCTACAATTTAATTTTCTTTCTGTTTCCTCTCAACTGCTATTCTCCCCCAGAAAATTACAAAATCGACTGAGCACACCTTTGATCCAACGCTCGACGAGCGATAAAACATCAGAAATATTCCTCCCTACACTGTCTATTTTAGTGGTGAGTTATATCCATAATAAAATCGTTAGCGAATGTTTGGATAAAGGTAAATGTAAGAATTGAATGAATAAGTGGAAAGGAAAGTTCGATCATTAGTGGAGTCGTTCTCAACCTGTCGTTCTGTACTCAATCGTCCTCAGTTGTGATGACCCCTTGAGAAATATACCATCGTCAAACGCCATAACGAGATCCACTCGACATGTTGTGTTATTTTTTCACTCTGTTGTGAGTAATTTACATTCACTTTTGATATGACGGCTAATGAGATGTATACAAGTATTCCTTTGTTGGTGTTCAATATGAACGAGAGAATTCGATTCCACCTCTTGTGGAAATAAATCCACGCTTGAAATATGAAAATATTCAAGGCATTTTGTAATATACCTAGGTCTGCGTTAAATCCTTTGCGTTCAAGAGAAGCCGAACATTTATTTCCCATTAAGGGATGATGCCAAAGAAAGTCAAATGAATTCCAAAATAGCGTGAAAGATTGCAATTCCGTACTCGCGAGTTATGCGGGTCACGTTTGTGTTGCATCCGAGGCATACCTGGAACGTGATACGAGTTGCATTAGGCATGTAGTTCCATCGGTCGGCTCCTCTGTTTTTTTTTTAATGCAGACATGTATGAATATCCGGCGACTAGAGTGTTGGGTCGAATGACATGATAAGATAACGTAAGACCACCAATCAATCAGGAGTAATCAGCGCTTCCTTGTAGCGTTTGTCTATTTTTTTTTTGGCATGGAGAGAATCATTTGAGGAAGTCAGTCGTTATTTCGAGTGATGTTGAGACTTTGATGGAGGAATATTTAGGATGGCAGCACCCGCTCCGTTGAGTATATGAAATATGCGGGGTGAGGAGTTCATTTCATGCTCCGGAAGGAACTGACCGATCTGGTCCTGTTGACCTCATCCCGTCAAATTATCCAGCTAGATTTAACTGGCCTTCCACTGTGGACTCTAGTATTCCCATCGATCCGCTATTAAAAGAGCACTTCGTTCGAAGTCTTTTGGATTTTTTTTTTAGAATTCTGGGGAATTCTGTGAAATTTTCTGTGTGTATTTGGCATTCTGCTAGAGGGTGAATTAATGGGGAAACTTTGAATTCTCAACATGACAATATGTCATTGGAGAAAGTTCAACGATCGTTGGCCAGAGACGCCCGAAGTGGAAACTTCAACGATCGGTCTCGCGAAAGCCCAACCATTTCCACTTTTACCCCACTAGCAGCATGTCGAAAAGTAGTCACTCCCTCAGCAGCTCTCCTTCCTTTTATTTTCCCCAACAACAAACGCTTGTAAACTCCTCATCCCCTCGACCAGCTACAGAATATTTACCATAAAATTTTCACGAAATCCATGAGAAGCATAGAAAATGCCGAGTGAATTCAGAATACTCTGAATGCTAACGCAATATTACGACCAAGTGAATATTTTCAATCTCGAAACTGCGGAGAGAAAAGACGATTTGTTCTGGCTCGGTAAAATTTTCATTTCGGTGCATGAATTTTATAATTGAAAAAAAAAAGGAAATGTCTTTTTTTTTTCAATTTCAATGATCCCTCTTCCTCACCCCTCGACAATCCAGACCTCATGGTGTGGTATCCGCAGGTTGAAGGACACTGAATAAAACCCATGCGCAACAAAGCTGAGGAGAGGGTGTACGTAGTGGCTGTACGTTGGTGTTACAGGTGAGCTTATCGACCTGAGGCCAGAAATACCCGCGCAGCATCGACCGTTTTGTGTTATACCTGGCCTGTAGGTTCCCGGGGGATGACGAGCGGTCGGTGGGAGGAGGGTTGTGGAAGAGGATGAGGGGGGGTGAATTTAGAGTGGAAGGAAGACAGAAAATGAGGAATAATAAAAGTGGAGAGAAGGCGTAGTCATGAGGGGGCTGACGTATACGACCAGCCCGACCAATCGAGGATGAGGCTGGAGGGTGCGCTTGCGCTTGTTCACCAAGTGGTGATAACCCTCCAGGAGACGAGGGGTGGCTGAGGGCGCCCTCACCGTCAGTGGCGGGGAGAACTCACTTGGCAGACGTAGCAAAGCTAACCCGACCAAGTGACACGCCGGGACGCCCCTGCCATCGGGAGCCCATCGGGAGCCCATCGGTCTGCGTAAGTACCTTTTTTTTATTAAACAATTTCCAAATCACGCATATTACCATTTTCGCACAATTCAACCATTAATAAATACAAATTGCTGTATAATGGCGTAAAAAGAGTGTGTAAAGTTGGTAAAAATTACCAAGTGTACAGGAAATCGAAAAAAAACTTGATTCAGTGAAACTCAAGTGATATAATTTGTGAAGTTGGAAAAAACTCGAGTGACCTCCGCGGAGTGACATTGTTATCCATTAGTTATCTATTAGTTTAGTGGGTCAGGTAGATCGATGGGGTAATTAATAAAAATATTTGAACCTGGTTGCAGGCTCGGTAGAGGACTCGGCAAAAAAGGTGGAGGGCCAGGAGACGTCAGGAGCCAAGGAGTCGTCAGGCGACTCGAGGGACGAGGACGTAACGAACGACGTGACGTCCACCCTGAGTGGCTTATTCAGTGGTTTACCGGCACTAGCGGGGCCCCAACGTCTCGCCAATTCCATCAGGCAAAAGTTCAACACTAATTCTGGTGAGTTGACAATATAACAATTTAACCTTTTCAAATTTTTGCCAATTTTTCAATTGTCTCCCTCCTCTACTTGTTCCTGCACGCGTTCCATCTCCCCTCGAGGGAAGCCTCAGCGTAATTAATTAACGAGAGGTTGCCCTGAAGTCCAATTATAATAGCCACGTACAGATTCCACACCGAATAATCCAACCCCCCCCCCTAGGCTAATGAAACTTCCAAGTTCAACAACAAATAAAACAAAGAAGATGATAGAAAAGAAAAGAATAAAAACTTGCCCCTGTAACTTGACACGTGGATATCGATTCTCTGGGTCGACCTCCAGAAGCGCCTGATCGAGGGGAGCCTTCACCCGGCGCTGCGTCGGGCACAAATATATAAAGTTAATAGTATTTAGATGATAGTTGTACCTATGAAGCACCTGCAGAAGCAATTGCAGAGCCCTTAAGGTGGTGCTGATCAAGTGAAATGAAAATATATCGGGACAAGAGGATGATAAAATCATCCATCATCGACGTGAGTCGGTTGCGCTAGGCAGGCCGGGCCAGGGCTCCCTATTCCATTAAATCATTGAAAGTTAAGAAAAACCCAGAATTACCATGGTTGGAAGAAAGCGCTACGTCCTATCAAGAACAAAACAAGATAAACCATTTTTTTTTCTCATTTTTTATTTATGTTTGAGAAATTATGATTTATAAAGGTGGAACGGTGATTTGTTGTAGGTTATCCCCGGCCCGGCCTGATGCGTCCCGCTTCGAGCACAGCGCCACCATACACGTTTCCAGATGTGATTACTATTAGTTCGTACTGAGTTCGTAAGAAGAGTGTTCGGATAATATTTTAATGAGAAAAAATTCCCCTGAGTAAGTTCAAATCGTCTGAGTGGGTGTATTGGTGAGATTATTCAACTTCGGCCTTGAAGAACAGCAAGAAATCATCATGACTTCGTTTAAAGTACCGATCGTAGACTTGGAGATTGGTGAACTAAAGGACATAGTATGGGCGAAACTGCAGGAGCCAGGCCCACAGAAAAAATTAGTCCTGGTTATAGTTTCAATAGCCCTGCTTCTGGATAACATGTTGTACATGGTGATTGTTCCAATTATACCGGATTACTTGAAATATATTGGAGCATTTAACAATCCTGACGGCACGCCGAACAATGAGACAGGTCATCATGGACAAGATTCAGCGACAGGTGTTCTATTTGCATCAAAAGCTATCGTACAACTGATGGTCAATCCATTTTCCGGTGCTCTTATCGACAGAATTGGCTATGATATACCAATGATGATTGGATTATGCATAATGTTTCTGTCAACGGCCGTTTTTGCTTGCGGTAGAAGTTACGGTGTACTGTTTTTCGCGAGAAGTCTTCAGGGAGTTGGTTCGGCATTTGCTGACACATCTGGTCTAGCTATGATCGCTGATCGTTACACCGAGGAATCAGAGAGATCGAAAGCTTTAGGGATTGCATTAGCTTTTATCAGTTTTGGTTGTCTTGTAGCTCCTCCATTCGGTGGAGCCTTGTATCAATTCGCTGGGAAGGAGATGCCCTTTCTCATTCTGGCCTTCGTCAGTCTGGCAGATGGTTTTATGCTGCTCCTTGTAATGAAACCTTTGAAGGAACAGCTTAAGGAAGGGAGAGCACGAGAGCACATTGAGACTGTACCAATCTGGCGTTTATTCATGGATCCTTACATTGCCGTCTGCGCTGGGGCTCTCATGATGTCTAACGTAGCTCTTGCCTTTTTGGAGCCGACAATTTCACTGTGGATGGAGGATCACATAACCCGAGACAATTGGAAGATGGGGATGATCTGGTTGCCTGCATTCTTCCCTCACGTATTCGGTGTGATAATCACTGTTAAAATGGCCAAGCAGTATCCGCAGCATCAGTGGCTGATGGCAGCTGGTGGACTTGCCTTAGAGGGGCTCTGCTGCTTCATCATACCATTCTCAACATCCTACAAATTCCTCATGATTCCCATCTGTGGAATTTGTTTCGGTATAGCTCTTATCGATACGGCTTTGCTGCCGACACTGGGATATTTGGTAGATGTACGATATGTCTCGGTTTACGGTAGCATCTACGCTATTGCTGATATATCTTACAGCGTAGCTTATGCTGTTGGACCCATAATTGCTGGTGGAGTAGTTGAGGCTATTGGTTTCACAGCTCTCAATATTGGAATAGCATTCTCAAATCTTTTGTATGCACCTGTTCTGTACTACTTGAGGCATATCTACGACTTCAAGCCATTCCAGGACGAGGCCAATGTTCTCATGCAAGATCCACCAGACAAAGAGTATCAGACTTACGTCCTTCAGGAGCAGAGACCAATTTCGGGAGATGTTGGTAATCATTTGACACAGGGGAGAATGGAGACAGATATTGACCAGAGTATAGAGCAAGGCTATCAGTCTGGATATAATCAGAGTGGGTCTGGTTATCAACAAGAGAATTATGGACAACAAACGTATGATCAGCAATATAGTCAGCAAGGGTATGCTCAACAGAATGTTGGGCACGTTGGATACGGTCAACAGCCAATTGGTCAGAGAAATGTTAGTCAGGATTTCAGGGGAAGTGATACGAGTCAAGATGCTAATCCATTCAGAAGACCGGCGGAGCCAGAGCGGCCGTCGGGTGATAGCAATCCCTTCAGACAGGGAATGTACTAGTGTGATTTAATGATTGAAAACAGATGATATATATTAAATAATCATGGAATGCGTTTTCATGGGATCTGATACTAGTCTTCAAGGCAGGCTTCCAATTCACCGATCACGTCTACCTCGGGTGAAAAAAATTCAATCGAAAGCAGGGGGAGAGATAAAAATGATCAAGTGATGTGATGTTTTCATTGTTATAGTGGTGATAAAAGTGGGAGAGATTAAACAGTGATAGATTATAGAAAATAAATTGGAGAAGAAGTTCAAAATGACGGATCGCTTTCCAAATACAATCATCTTGATCATAAGTCTCTCTGGTGTTTACGAGAATTCCAGTCAGCAAGGGAACTCGCAGATCACCGGATGACAACTATAATTCAGTTCTTTCTTATCATTGACTTTTTTTTTGGATTACATCAATGTTTTTGTTGAAAAAACGTTGCTGAACCAGGATAACATATCAGGAGACCGGGGATAATGGAAAATGGCTGCAATTATCAGCACCACAACCAACTCCCGGAATCCAAAAATTAAATAATGATTAGTAAGTAAGTAGTTAAGATTAGGGCGATAATTGATGAAAATGATAATACAAATAATTAGAATTAGTAGGTGCTCGAAATAAAAAAAAAAAAAAACCAGAGTTGATTAACTTGGGATTCGAATATTTTTTCACAATTCTGAGTTTATTATCTGGCTCTGGTTGAGTCTGGGTCGGGGGTGCAAGTGCGAATATATGATTAGAATAAAAATCCGAGTGTATAAAACACATGAGGATTACATATCTGTATTTTTATGAGGTTTTTCTAAGTAAGTAGAATTTTGTTGGGAGCTTAGAGGCACCGGCTAGTGAAATATAAAATAATTTTTTTAGATTTCCTCTTTTTTCATTTGAATACGATGAGTGACAGTTTGCTGATGTAAATTTTTTATTGAACCTACACGAATTCACATACTTTGTTCAAACTATTAGATGAAAATCGAAAAACACCAAGGGAAATATCGTTTAGAAAATTGTAAAGGCAATTTATCTTCCAGAATACTAAATAACTGTGTATCGCTCTTTTTTTTACGATTGAAAAATGACATTCGATTTTTTTTTCGCATTACCAATGGAGGGTTTAGACGCGCGAAAATGACGTGCATGAAAAATCCTTACCTACTCGTCAATACTCATAGGACATATTGCGAGTAATAAAAACCGCATCGCATATACTACGAATAATGGCAAAGAAAATTTAATAAATTATAATAAAGAAATGCACTTGCAGTGCAGGGTCATTCCAAATGTTGAAGAATAAAATTTCGAAATGACAGAATAACCAAATAAATAACTGAAAAATAGAAATCTATCTATGCCTCCCTTTGACCCTATTCAATGTCGATGTTGAACTCCCATTAGTCAGTACTTATATAACCGTTGATTAATCCATCTTGAGCTCGAAATCGTTTAATAAATTAATCACCGTAGAGTCTCAGAAAGGAAATAATGAAAAAATGAAAGGAAATAACAGTATTGAGCTTGATGAGTTGAATTATGAGGAATTCAATAGCGGAAAGACGAAGGAAAGAGGAAAGAGAATAATAAAACTAACGAAACCATTTGGAAGACCATTTGTGATTAGATAATAAAAGAAAAAAAAAACAGATTTTCTGACATGAACATCTGCCTATTGCCTACATACGCTATAGTTTCCTTTCCTTTTCCTGTAGCATTAATCTTAAAGTCCTTGTAAATAAATAACAAAAGGCGAAAAAGGTGAATATAAAAAAAACAAAAGCATATCTATCCTCTATATCCCACGAGCGTTTGCAATACGCCTACTGTAACATAATGCGAATGTCGTGGTAATTACTGATAAATATAAATATATTTACTATGGATAACAGATATATATTATATATATGAGTTGATGAAATTACCAGAACTAATGAAAAAATCTATATAATGAATTCGTTGCTTGATGCGAATATTAAAGTGTGAAAGAAAGTGAGAATGAAAGTGATGATGGGTTTGAGCTTGTCTCCGCGTTCCATTATAACATGTCAACATTTTCGCTCATTTTTATTTCGTATTCTCTCGCTAAATGAAAGTCAAACTGATGAAAGTAATAGTTATAAATAATATTAACTTTAACACAAGGATGACGAAGCATATTCTCGAGTGAGACTAAAGTAACAATATGCAGTTGTAAACATTCGGAGAATAAATGAGGTGAATTTTAGAAAAACTCATAAAAAAAATGACGAAAGCGCTATGTACGATGAATTTGCCTGTGCATTACATCACCTGGCCCATCACAATTCGATGGAAAAATTATATACACTGACACATAATATGCACTATCAAGGGTATCTTATAAAACACGTGTATGTATGTATATCTAATGGAAACTTTCAAATGAGAATACCCGCAAAATTTAATGATTGGAAATGTAATTGGAAAATGAACAAAGAAACACTGTAATGTTGTTGAACCGATTATTAAAGATGTCATTGTTACCGAAGTATAATCTTGTGATTATTTTTATTTTATGTCCCTCCAAGTCTCGAGGATGAATATAACAAACTATTATTTTTCAAGGACTTTTTTTTATTCTGGTACTTCACAACTAGAGTGATCCCCCTTGATAAAAATAAATGCGTCGGAGAGATAACAATCTCGCGTGTTGGAAAGTGTCGTAACGACATATAACAGCTGAAGTAATTCCAATTCTATATTTGACTCCCACTAAAATCCACCCCTATCGATATGACCTTCGTATTATAATACATAACAATCGTTGTTTCGAATAAAAAAAAATGGAATTATTAAACATGATAGGTCGCCAAGTAATCCGCTTCAAGCGGTTTCACCACTTGAGAGCTACAAGGCCTCTGTTCCCTCAACCACTTGAGTTGTCACCCCTTTCATACTGTCCTAGGGTTTCTAGGGGTGAATTGAGACAATGCATAATTTAAATGAAAAAAAAAAAATCATAAGAGATGAAGAGACACTCCAAGATATTCCCAGACAATTGGCAGGTATTGCCGACTAGACTTTGTCAATTGCCGGTCCAAAGAGAAGAATTTGAATATGAATATTTGACCAGCCCCCATGACAGCCTAACCCCATCAACGTGTAATAATATTTATATTAGGGCGCGGTCTTGGGAGGGTAGCTCGATGGGGTCGACTGTCTTTCATGGGTGAAGTTGACATCAACGATATACCGGGTGTCCTGGTAACGCCCTAACGACCGTTTCGAATTGGCATTACGAGAATTCATAACATGTTACGCTCCTTATCTATATCCCATTGACAAGGACAATAAATTATCAAAATATTTTTCTAAACCTCTTGAATCATGCAATTAAATTGCTCCTGGATAAAAATCCAATGAATAAAATCAATTCTATTCTAACGCTCGTATTATTCACGTTCAATAAACATTGAAGTAATGGTGTTAATGAATCGAGCAAACGATAACGATAGGTTGCACGAAGACAAGCAGACAGTGTGAAGACTAGTGTTGCGGGTAGCGCAAAGAGCCCGGTAATCCCCAAATCCGATTATTCGCCTCATCGGTCCTCGACAACACCAGTGAACACCCTCCCCTCACCGCTCAATCAATGTTTTTCCTTCTTTCCTGTCGCTCTGTGTTATACCATCTCCACTGGTCTCACCTACTGAATTTTTCTTTCCCCCTCAACTTTTTTTTTCTTTTTGAGGAGTGAAAGGCTCTCACATTCTACCTTCGATCGGGAACAAACTGACGGATTCGAGCGGATTTTCCCCAGTCCCCAGGGAAACCTCATGCCATTTCCAATCCAATTCGTTATGTCGAAATGAATTTGACTTATTTCTCCGGGTTTTCGGGTAAGTCGATCGCGATGAGAATTTAAACACTAGAAGAGTCGAAATGAGTTGGTCGATTTGGTGGAGCGTCACGAGACTTTCGTGGGGGTTTTGAATTTCAATTAAATTATTAAATATCGAGGTAGATTAATATTTGAGGAGGTTTGCGAATGGGAAACGGGGGAGATTGGTAGGTGAGAGGTGGCTTGATCCGGGGACAGAGGCGAGTAGCGTGAATAAATAACTATTTCAAGTTGGGTTGCCATGACAACACTGCCTGTGACCCCCTGGGCCTTCAATACACAGTGTATACATTTTCTGGCTGTGACTGACTGACAATGTCGTGTAGATTGCCATTGCCTCCCACCCACCCCCTTTTTCCCCTGCTGCGTGTCTCCATGGGCTTCAGAAACAGATGTACCGTAGGTACACGCAATTATTTTATCCACAAACTTCCCCCCACCCGTCTCACTATGGGATGACATTGCAAACTCATATTTTCAATACAATTTTTATCAATTTATAAAAATAACGTGCTAAAGTGAAATACAATAGTGTACAAATAACGCATCGACACCGCGATTTATCAAATTCACACTGCGAGGGGCTGACCAATTGTCACCATCCACCCGCACATGTACATTAGAAGTGACAAATGACGGAAGAAAAGGGGGAATTACCTAATACCCGGCATAACAGCCCTACACCTTCGACATTTTCCATGAGGATATGGTATAAAAGGGAGAGCAAGCGGAGACTGGGTAAATGTGAATTTTTGCAGATACTGAACGACAAAGGGAAGGAAGATATATTGTCGGGGCAAGGACACGTTCTCACATTTACCCCCACTTGCCGAGGGAATAAATAATGCATCTGTGTACAGGCAACGTGTAGACAGCCTTCTAGATGTCGACGACCATCAGTCATCCTCTGTGCGGTTGATCCCCTGTTGAATTACCCGCATGGATGATACTATTTTTTTCTTTTTCTGTTTGAGGAAAGTGAGACCATTAGTGGTTTCCAGGTTCTGGAGAATTTTGGGGGCATTGTGGAGGTGATTGAAACATCATCAGTGGAATGTATTGGGGTGTTGGATTGGTTTACGCTGATTTTTCCAATCGACGTGAAGATAAAAGGGAGAGGTACGAGATAGAGATGCTGGAGAAAGTTGGCTTTACCCTAAAGACAGGGATCCACTTATAATCCCACGTGCACAGGCGGTTCCCCTTTTAACCACTACAATTCACCGTGCCCTATCTCGCCCTGGTCGCCTCGAGGCTAACCACCCTCTTCTCTGGAGCAACTACCACAGTCTATCGGTGGAAAAAAAAAAGGGACAAAATGAAGACGATGTTCGTGGCTGATGCGACTTCGGGGAACATTGCGTTGAGGGATGTTAGGATTGAACGAGGGGAAGGGGAGATGAGGCAACAAACGTGGATCGTGTAAGGGCTACGGGTAGATAAAATGAGATCGTGTCTTGGACCTCACTAAAATGTTAGAGAGGGTGGATGAATGAAAAGATGAAGAAGAAAAGAAATTGGTACATCGGCCAGGGAACAATGAACTTTAGCCCGCACTTCGTCATTCTATTCCTGGAGAAGGAAAAATTGCAGATACATCGTGTAATTTTTTTTCGCGACGTCAAAAAATCTACCGAGTAAGCGGTAAATGTAACGTTTGGTCATTAAAAAAATTCCACCCTGAAAATAGTCATCATTGTTGGTAACAGCTCGTATGTATGAAATATTCAAATGTACGTCTATATTGGCCATGAAAAGTTTACGTTGTACCCCTAGTAACTGCATGACGAATAGCGACGTTGTTTACATCACTTCGGTCAGTTAAGAAAAATAGAAGAAAGGGAATTTTTCCTTCTCCCAATCAAATATCAAAGTACGTAATAATAACAATAATGCGAGTGACCATCAGTACCGAGCCAGCGCTCGATGCGAATAAACGTGACACGAAATTCGATAAAACGGCACCGGACACTAGGATACACAACGCTGAAACGTGATCCATTGGGTAAGTTAGCCCTGATATTCGCGAAACAAAAAGACAAATTTAAAGAAGAATGGAGATGGAAGGAAGAGTGTAACACGAGGAGGTCTGAAAGGGCGCGAGAATCTCGAGTTGTTCAGACAAAAGGAGAGGCACAAACCCTTGAGGCATTGTTGCCCTTTACCCTCGCTCAATCGTCCTATTCACTCCTTTTTTTTTGTTGTTGAAAACACGGGGAAAATAATTGCAGTGCGTGAGCCAAAGCCAGTACAATGTGCACAGCGCGTAATTATTTCACAAATTTGATAAATAATTCTAAATAGTTCCTGGCGAGAATATGTTTCACTATTTTTTCCACTTTGGAGATAATCCCGATGGTTTCATGTGGCAATCTCCCTCGACATCCACCGGGTACAGAGGGTTTTTCTCGCCTTATGAATAAAGTAAGACGCTATTCCGACGTCGGTGAACCTGCCACCCTCTTCCCCTCGACTTTATGTATGCCATGTGTATCTAACGCCTTTTTTTTCCACTCGCCCCTCGGTGTTTTGTCGCCCAATACTCCAATGTATACGGGTTATGGCCATCTAGCATCCTCATAAACTGGCATTAGTACACTCTCCCCTACTTGCCATATTGTTGACAACGATGCAGTGCCATTTATTTTGACATTTCCAAGCTGTCCATGAGGCTTTCTGTCGCAACTAAACGGCTCTCGGCTATTTTCAAGAAGTGCCAGGAATACCATAACACCTCAGGAGTTGATCGAGTGATTGATCCAGAGATTGATCCATGAAATTGTTACTCGTAAATCAAATCGACTCCCACCCACTTCACAGACACTTCACTATTTTTCCTTCGTATTTTTTTATTCTGAGGAAAAAAAATAAAGTGTGGAGACCCAGAGGATTGGGGAAATTGTTATGTTGAATTCTGCATTGATGATTTATCTGAATGTTCTATTCGGTGAGAGCCGCAGGATTTTTTTTATTGAGCATAAAACGACGAAATGGGGGGAATAAAGAGGAGCGTTGGTGAAGGTGTTGGTGGTGTGTGGGAGAGTCCCTCGGCAACGGGCAATCGGCCAGGGTACGATACACGTCGTCAGTTAATCAAGCCATTTTCGCTTCTACTGGGGAACCAGGGGTTGAGGATTCGAATTATTTTCACTCGTCTCTCGCGTGTGTAGTATCGATTTTCCTCGGACTGTATCGCGAATGAGTCCATCGGTGATTTTCAATTGAGATGAGATGCAATGAATACTGAGTTAATGGCTCAAGTTGAGGTGATTCCATTCAATTTCTCGGTTGAAAATTTCGAAAGGATAATCTTGTTTGAAACTGCCTGATCCACTCTCGAGTGGATTATTTGGTCTTGTGATATCCCTAGTAAATTGTAACTTTCAGCAATCGATCTCTGTAAGACATGTTGCCCATGTGGCAGTGGAAAGTGTGCTATATTATGAAATTGACTCATCTTCAGAGCTCGCGATACGTCTGCTAATGCTAGTGCAATGCCAGTGTACTTTATCCTCGATTCTTCATTCAGACATTTTTTTTTATTGAATCCGGTGTGCGCTCTCAAGTCTAGACGTGCCACTCTCGCCTCAATCAAAACTCGTACCATATATACTTTAACGTTATAATTGCCCAACGAGTCTCTCACCGCGTGAAGTGAAGTAATCAGGTTATTTATATTCTTGGGAATTGAATTTTTACTGTTTTAATTTGACCAATTGGAAATATCAATCTATTGTTATTGAAATATCGCGTTGGGTGGAAAGAGCTCTGTAATTTTCTCCGTTATTACACTGGAGAGACAGTTTAAACTGGGGATTCAAATGAGTCGCCGAGAGGGTGAAAAATGTTGAAAATAGGGATGAAGGGCACACCCCCGTAATTCCCATGGGTTGAAAGGCCTCGTTTAATATTTATGATTTATTTCGGTTTAATTCGACGTACCCAAAGGATTTTCCATTTTTTTTTCTTCCGCATAAATGAAAGCCACGAAATTTTCCACTTCTATCAACCGAAGTGTAAAAATTCATTCTAAAAACAATTCAGTTCAGAGTTTTGAACTGACAAGTAATATTTTCAGTGCAATAAATTCACCATCGAATTATTTATCACTGAGGGATCGCCAGAGGTGAGGCCAGTGGTTCCAAAACGACTTTCATTACTCCACATCGTGAGATCCTATTTTTCGTTGGATGTCTTTTTGCAAGGTAGCAACTACCGAGAAACGATTCAGTGAAAATGGAGTTCTCGGGGCAGACGTGTCCCCCCCGAAAGGGAATTAGGACATTGCAGGGGTGAAACGAATTCATCAGTCAATGTCCAAGTAACCGTGTACGATCTGAGTTGGGATTTTTTTCCTTAGGAATGATGATTTGATTTTTGGGCGAGGGACACGAGATCGAACTCATCTCGAACTAAAAAAAAAACAATGCAATTGGAATTGTGTTCCGGAGAATAGTTAATTGAAGAATCGGTTTTAATGCAATAAAAGTCAAACCACATCCCATGACACAGCAGAGAGGAAACAACTAAGGCAGAACGCGTGGCCACCGGTACACTATATTAATAAATCTCAATTACCCGAGTTAATACAAAAGGCAACTGGGGGAGGGTAATTCGCACGGGGGTTGCAGGAAACCGGACACGAGGGTGAAGGCATTCCCTTGGTTAATATACTGTACCATAATATTCCTCATAGCCATTCATTGGCCGGAAGATTAACGAGATAAAGCCGTTAGATCTTAAAATTTTGGCAACAGACCTGAATAAAAAATTGTTTAACTACCAAAATTCCCGGTTGTCCTCAAGTTAATTACGAATTACACGGCACAAATAGGCATCAACTCATCTTGAATCTCCCCAACGAGTTCATCAACCTCGAAAAAACATGAATCAAGTAATTAATAAAACCGTAACCTCGATTGAGAGAATTGTTTTGCTGAGAACCCTGAATACACCGTCACTTTAACGAGCTGGAGACTGACAGGGGAGAGAGGAGTCGTTCAATCTGAGAACCCCCTACCCCAGGATCCTGATGAAGCCTAAGAGAACGAGGCGATCCGTCATCGAAACGTTTAATGAAACGTCGTGGTGGTAAGTCAAGGGAGAGCCTCGTTTTCGGCTTAAACCACCGAGAGTTTAGGGAGTTGGTGGATTCAAACGTCGTATATAAACACTTAATCCAACCAGTGACGATATTAAAGTCATATACAGTGGTTGTATGTCGACATTTATAAAGTTGTTGGCCTTGTCTTGTACGTGGAAAAATCTATTATTTTGAATTATTGCATACCCTAACTTTTTCATATGTGAAAACATTTTTTTAGAAGAAAAGAAATATTTTTTTTTCAGAGGGATGGCGAGACTCAGTGTTGGGTGCCCCGCGCCGGTTGCTAACTACCCTCGGCAGTCTCTCAAGAGATTCCTCACCCTTTCCTGCCTCGGTAAGTTAAAAATAATAATACAACATTTTTGGGAAAATAGTGCTCTTATAAATATGGTGATTCTAACAATAATGCAGATTGGTAAATCGATGAGGCTTACGGGGCTTGAGTCCCCCCTCACCACGTCCAGAGAATGCGCGGTTAAAAGTTTATCCTCCGGGCATAACGTGAAATGTAAATCAAGCCCCCTACGAAATCCCCGTTTCCAAATGCCAGGCGCAAAATCGTGGTGTACCTTCCGGCGAAATATGTAAATGACACGCAACGCGTTGGATACGATCTCGTTACCGCACTAACCCCTGGGGAGATCTCAGTATAATGCATAAAGTGACAAAATAATATTTTTGAAAGTTTCCCTATGAGATATGGAGAGATAAATATTTGAATGAAAAAATTATTGACGAATAAAATATTTAGATATCATTTTGGGATGAATTTTTCTCATATAATCATTTTTTGGGAGGAAATGTGGAGATAAAAATAGCTGAAGTAGAAAAACTATGATGGAAAAGTTGATAAAATACGAAAAGAGACTAAAGTTGTGATAACTTGGTCACCCCTCAACACAAAAGTTTCCACCTTCATCCTGTCGAGTTTTTTTTTTCTCCCTCGATTCCCCTCACCCGAACCTGGTGAACTGCATTCATCAGACCAAACTTGAGAAGTAAGTAGTCACTATCTTAGCATTTCCTTACATCTCGGTATCTATCTACTTCCCACGGAGACTATGAAGCCGAGAGTACACGAGTGAATGAAAAATTTTTCACTCTTAGCACTCGCGAAAGTAAAACGCAATTGCAATATTACGATATTGTGCGAGCGAAGATGAAGAGAAAGCCACAAAAGACAGACTTTTTCGGATGAAATTTATGTTGGATGGAGGGAGTGTATACAGGGACGTAGGGAGTGAAAAGATAGACCCATAATTCTGTAGCATCAAGTGTTAGGGCGAGGAGATGCTCCAGACACCATAAGAAAATTACATTTTCGAGGAGTAAAAGGAAAACCCACCGTAGAGACGATGACGAAGAAAGCCCGTGTGAATTGATTGATTAAATTCACTTTTCATTTGATATCCATTAAAAGAGGATCTTCAATAATTCAAAAAAAAAAAACGCGTCGTTATGCATGAGTAATTCAATTGACCCTACTCCGCTTGGAACAAGTTATTCTGGTGGAAATTACAGTATTACACGAAAAAAAAATAAAGAACCTGGTCATTAAATTGATGGCTGTACTATACAAATGGTCGAGTGAGCTAATGGGAACATGAGTAACGAGCAATGGGGAAAAACAACGTCAAGAATTGGACGATAGAAACACAAGGGAAAGAAGAAAAGTATACAGAGGGTGGAAAAGGTAGAGCTAGCCGCAGGGTCTCTGGGTTATCGATCAGTCCTCAACGCACCAGGTGAACCACGCCCTGGCGCTCATTAATTAATGTAAAAATTCCACATTTCATTCTGCAGTGAATAAAAATTCATTAATCAATCAAACAATATTCTCCTCGACATAATAAAAATGCTCTTCATTTCTTCCTCGATAAGATTATATTTTCCATTTGTTCTGAGGACAGAATTTTCATGATCTTTTTTTTTTAAAATCAGTTCCATCATTAAATATCCTAATATATATTTGGAGCTCGAAATGAAGTGGCATGACTAATAAATTATCTCCCATCGTTAGTTATCCGATATCAACTAATTTATTTACGAAGTAACGGGTGTACTCTAGTGTTCCCCTCTCTAATAGACTGTGGCCAGTCTGAAATTTGATGGAGAAAAAAAAATGGGGGAAAAAAAATAGTAGTGGAGTGTATTATGGGCAAGAAGCACGTGGTATGTTCCTGAGGAATGAGTCACGTGCTATCTGCCCCCTATTATGACACGCGTACCATTTTTCAGGAGCTAGATAGATTCCTTTCTAAAATTCCATCAATCTCTTCCTATTAAAAATAAACTATAAACCAATTTTCCTATGAATTTAACAACAGCTGTTATTTCTATTCCTCATCGAATCACTGATGCAAATTTTTTTTTCAATCAAGCCGAAGTGTTTTCCGCATTCAGAGAAAAAAATAGTAGAAACCATTTTCGTTAATGAGCATGATCAAGGTTAAAGGAAACTGAATGAATACATGAAGAAACATCAAAGGCAGTGGTCGGTGTCGCTAACTAAACTCCCGTTATGCCTCGGAGAGAAGTTAAATAGGGAGAGGGTATCGAGGGATGGAAAGTTTGCCATTTCCAATTCGAGTCCATTTCGTGATTAAGTGCAAACTTGTGAAGTTCCCCGTTGTACAGCCAGTCAAATAAATGCGGATATACGTACAAATACACAAATAGAAGCAGTAGCATTATGGCATAAAAAAAGAAGACCAAAAAAGTATTTGTACAGCTTTCGGAAGCTTCAGAGTAAACAGAAGATGACAATAAGTCGAGGAGAATTGAGGGAAAATAGAATTTTCCGCGGTACACCAGTAACAATTATTTTTTCACGCGAGAAAGCTTGAAAAAAAAAGGAATATTGAATTACTAATGGTGTAAGTCGAGGCCTGCATCGATGAAAACAAAAAAATATCACTAAAGACCCGGCACGCCTAGCTCCGGTAATAGCACATCGAATTTCCGACGAACCCCAAAATCGAAGGGGGGATTTTCGTTAAATTGCGCGGAAATCTATGGTGGTTTAGAAGCAGCCTCCATCCTCGTACTATTACCATTATTACTGAGGGACTTTTACGAGTTTCTGATGGACCGAGAAGCTATATAAATCCTTCAGGATGTTGTACACCCGCAAGTGGATGAAATGTTATTCTACCCCAAGGTTTTTAATGACTCTGCTAATTTTTCTCGATTTTCGCATCTCAATAAATTCGAAATGTGTGGAGAGACACGTGAGATCGATGCAAGAATTTCGGATCTGATAAGAGGTGACCGCAGGTCTTATGTTTGATCGAGGTTCGGGCTATTGAGAACATGCCCCAAGAGACTCGATTAGGCTCTCAGATGAGAAACATCCGCTCATGGAGTATAATCCGAAGGATGTGTCGAGCAACGTAATTGACGAGGCGATTACACCCGAGATATTGGCATTCCTAAGGGTAATACTGATGAAACAAAATATTACGAGAAAAGAGGCCGACTTATCAATTAATTGCGGTGAAAAAAATTCGCTTGATAAAGTAAAGTGATGAGGAGTTTCAAAGGGTAGTGGATGGTAGTGTATGGAAAATAACATTAGATTATCCTGGATTTGGAGTGAATTGAGTACTGTAGCACGCGGCGAGGTCAAGTTCTCGGTCGGCTTATTAGAAACGCGAGTGAGAGCATGAGTGGGTGGAGCACAAGGGCGATAGGTTTGAAAGTGCACAGACATGACATCCCACACACACATGACAGTGGGTTCTCTCCAATTACTCGTTTGCAACGTGTGATTCTCACGTGCGATTATCCCCTCTGGGTTCATGTGTGTGTGTCATGTGTGTGGATTTGTCCCCCATCTATCGACTGTAGAACCCTTCTCATCCACGCGTGCACCCAGTGAGTTTGCACGCGGCCAAAACCAATTCACGCAACATTCATAATTGGTTCGCGTCGTTGCCCACAGGAGAGGACTCCCGTGTTCCTTATTTGTCGGCTCGTGGAAAGACCCGCCAAGAAATAAAGGATAATGAAAAAAAAAATATATATAGAATGAGGCAATAATTTTTCAGCGTCGCGCACGGAGAGAAAAATTCTTTAAAAATTACGTGCCTGTTCCGTAACCTGCCAGTCAAAACAGTATTCAGTAAAAATTACGGAACAGTTACGCACTTTTTCAGTGACCTTTCAGAAAAAAGTCCAGGACGTTCAGGAAAAAGTAGGGAACGTTCCATGAAAAAATGCGGAACTGTTCCGTAATTTTTACTGAATACTGTTTTGACTGGCAGGTTACGGAACAGGCACGTAATTTTTAAAGAATTTTTCTCTCCGTGCGGATCATTTTTTTCTCGCAAAGAAATCCTTAGAAAAACGATATATTGACTCAAAGTCGAGTGAAAGGGGTTAATCGGATACCGTTGAACCCTCTGAGACAATGAAGAGAAAGAAGGACGATTGTAGTTTCTTATCAATGCAAAAACAGTACGAGGGGTCGTAGCAATTAAGAGATAACAAGATTTTCCCTCGGCACCCCTCCAATTAGTGACACCCTGAAAACCCCTCGGTTCGCCTGGAGATGGAGGCGAAAAAATATGTATATCTAGCTCACCATAGCAGGTACCCTCGATGCCGCGTGCAACCACCGAATCACCCCAGCTTCTGTTCTATCCTCCCTCGAATCTCCAATGTTTGCATACCATCGTGGATATTCCGAGTGCTGAAAGACAGAGGCGGTGGAATGAAAAGTACACACTCTAATTTTTCTGGTACATAAATGTACTAGAATGCTTAATTAAAAATATTGACAATATGAGAAAGACTACGAAGACTCGTTGAATGAAATAAAATGGAATAAAATAAAAATAAATAAAATAAAATAAAAATAAATAAATCGTAATAGCATATTGTGATACAATTAATATTCATGCATTAGGATTTAGAAATCGAAATTCCATCGAAGGCCCCCAAATCACACGAGGGGTTGAATAAGTGTATGTGCGTGAAAGAGAGGCTGGGATAAAAAAGTGGTAGGTCGTTAGTACGAACTACAAGCGGTGCATGCCAATGAGGCCTCACAGTATAGGTTCTCGGCCTATTCGGCTGGGGGATGAAATCTCCTGGGAATCAGGACAGCCGTTAGAGGAAAGACGAGGGGAATGACTTGGTTTGCGAGGGAGGACGACCAGAACCTGGGATTGGACTGACTCATGGTGCCTGAGGATAATCGAAACTCGTTACCTTTTCTTCTCCCGGATTCGATTCGTGCCGAGAATTAGGAGGACTTCCTTTTCAATGTTTTTTTTAGCTGAATAATCCATGAAAATGGACATCTGCTTTTCTCAATGAATAGAGCAGAATCATTTCGCGGATGGAATGAAAAAAATAAGGTAGACACTAACCCTGTACGTACTCGGTACTCTATTGAATTCTCATCTTGACATTAAACGATGAAATAAAAATGCAAGTGAATTGGGAAAGTGTGTGGAGGGTCGCACATGGATAGTACGGGTCGGAAAGTTGGTCTTGTTAAGAACCGGCAAAGGGGATTCTGATCAACGAACCGTAGAACGCCACGGGACAAGAGAGCCCTTCCAACCCAGTCCACGCTTCGTTTCTCAATTGATTCTTTATTTTACAATCGACAGAGCTCATCCAAGGGTCTGGGGGTCTGGGGTGCCCTGCCTATGTGTTCCTACACATACCCCTGATCTCCCACCCTCCCACTTCCCCCCCGAGCAATATTAAAACAACAAGAGCGACCCCCCCATTATTTGCTCTCCAAATTATCAGCTAGAGTATTGAGTTAGGGGCTTTGAAATTAGTGTTTACTATTTGTCTTTATTTTGTGTGCAGAGAGAAGAGCCTCTGCCGAGTCTTCCTGTGCCAGATCTGGAGACAACCATGCAGAAGTATCTTGCCCAGGTTGAGGCGATAACGCCTGGTCATATGGAAAAAACCAGACAGCTGGTGAGAGCTTTTCTATCTGGACCAGGACCCAAACTCCAACAGCGTCTGCTTGAGCGAAGACAGGATAAGGTCAATTGGGTGAGTGAAAATATAGAAATTTTATCGATAAAAATTCACTCCAAGACAGACAACAGGGGCCTTGGACTGACACCTACATCCGTATAAAAAAAAATTTAGGATAAAAACACACCCGTATTTTCGGATGATATAAAATTTAAAGATCTGGGAGAAATAAAAAATGATAAAGAAAGGAAGAGCTTATTCTGGTCGACTAAGTGACACGACACCATTTTCGTTTCAAAACCCCCTTGGTAACATCCGACACAGCCTCAAGAGACTTTATAGTGGAACGACGGTTAGGCGTAGGTACCCATAGGCACCGGTGAGCTTTCCATGACTTTTGCCATTCCCCCTGAACCCTCGACTCCCTCGGGATACCAGCGCCCTATAAGCCATCACAACTTCCCCCGCCCTCCCTCTTTCATCCCCCCATTCCACTCAAACCCCTATGGTACATAAATAAATAAATAAATGGATTTACGAGCCGTCTGGAACTCTCCACTTTTTCCTACAGAAGAGCACCAGCTCTGCCTTTTCTTTACGAAAAAAAAAATTCATTATCAATTTATCCACGAGGTTCTCCCTCAATACAGGAATATTGAAGAGTTGTTCAATTAAAATTTACTATTCAATTATTTGTGGGACGAATGAAAATTAATGAAATAGAACATGCCAATTTGCCCCATGGTCTTGATAGATTGATGAGAATGAAGAAAAAATTATTAGAATGATAAGAGGGTGGGTATAAAAAATGATGGTAAAAGGGAGCCGACGAAATTCGCAGTTCACGCCTTCCTCGCGAGAAGATTGCTTCCCCCTAGGATCCCCCAGGGCTCTAACGTGAACATGTAGACGAAGACGGAGGGAATGAGGAAAAAAAAATAACCTAGGGAAAATATATTTCCGGATGTATTTCCAGTAAATCGAAATCTCGCGCGGCGATTGTGGACGATTGGTTGTGAATGCTGGAGGGTTTTATGGGGTGGGTTGAGGAATTGGACGTCATGAGTTGGCGGAAAAATGACTTGACAACAGGAAATCCTCCATCATTTTTCGACAAACGAGGGGATTCAAATTGAATGTATCATTTTAATAATAGAATATTGTAGCTAGAGTTAATTAAAATAGCGAGTAAAATCATACTGACTCATTTCCCACATAGTGATGATAAATGCTGTTAATAAATTCAAGACAGCCTCAAAAATGAAGAAATATTGTATTTGAAAAATGTTAAGAGAAAAAATGAAGGACAAAGGGATTTCATGGTGTCATTTCCGGGTGGATAAAAAGGGGGAATGGTTTATCACAATATTCTCGGTGGGTGGTTCGGAGCTAATATCACGGTACCCCGCAGCGAACTGGAAAATTTCATTGAGTATTCCATTATTCATCTGCGCAAATTCTATCCCACGTACGCTATTTCACCACTCTCCATTCCTTTTGCCAATGATAAAAAAAAAATCTATGCCAATTAACCGGGTTGAATCATAGAATAACTCAAGGATGAATTAGTAATCCCCATTTCACTGGTTATTATCAAGACATTAGACAGAACATGAAGCTTTCCAATATTATTTAATCGTTTCCCTCCCGAAGAATATAGAGTTCCGTAATCATGAAGGGGAGAGGCAGAGGAGAGAGTAATTACTGTAGTGTGACGCATCAAACGAAATTATACCAAGAAATATCTTTGATCTCGAAGGAAAATCGTCTTCCTTATTTGTGACTGTGAATTTGAATTGATGTGTAAATAGGTGTTGATAATTCGTGTAATAAATCATATTGATAATTATTTGTACAATAAATTGGGATAAAAGAGTATCTCCCTCGATATTTCACCTCCTCATGATGATCTTATCATGAAAATACTTATAAATCGTGTTTATCTGAAACTATCGCATGATTTTCGACGGATCCCCCACACCCCCCCTTTGGAATTCAAAACAAACGACAAGGGAGACACACCAGACCAGGTCGTCAGGACTTCTAATCTAGGCAATTTAAATGTTTGTCCCCAAACGCTGTTGGAAAAGGGGGAGAATCGCGAAAGAAGGATAGAGAGCTATCGCTCCTTGTACCGCGTAATCCCTTGTTGAAACAACGGTAAGCCCTTTGGATTGTCTGCGGTATTGCACGCTGATATCGTCCAACAGGAAGGGCTGTACACACTCTCCCCAGGGATGATTTTCCCTGCACACATCCGCCACATAAAATACATAAGCCTATATGACCGCCATTCGTTACATTTGACATTAAAAAATCACCTAAACTCCCACGGAGACAAATATTCAATAAGAATTACGCGGCTTTTCCGTAATTTTTACTAAATATTGCTCTCCGCCTACAACTCCGATTTTTCAATACAAAGTCTTTTCAACGGTACGACAATTTATTCGTTTTCTATTGTATCGTGAATTCTGGTTATTAAATGGAAAATTAATAAAATCGAGGAAATCGGGGGATCGAATTCCTTGAAGATGAAGAGCTTGAGGTAACCACCCCCGAGAGAAAAAAAATGTGAAGACGTTTATGAAATTGACCGCCAGCTCATGGTGTTAGCCGGAAAAACTGGACCCTTGGGAGTTATACCCGGACACAGAGTCAATTTGGCTCCTAAGGGCGAAGAAAATCTCCATTAAAGTATTTTCTGGAGTTTATCCCGGGTCAAAGGACTAGTCACTTCACGATTTTACTCATACCATTCACCTCCCTGTATTTAAATGGATATATTGTGTGAATCCACAAATGGAATTCATGAATGATACAATAATAACAATAAAACAATAAGACTCTGTGATGTAACGTTCTTTTTACGAATTGAGTGTTGCAATAACGATGATTAAAGAAATTAAAAAATGAAGGAAAAATAAATTTCCTCCAATCCCAATGATTATCCCCAGCCTATGTCCTCGTAAATTCCTTTTTATATTTTCATCCCACCGCCTCCCAGCACTTCCAAGAGCAATTAAACTTTTATTCTCAGTCGTTAATCCCCTCTCCTCTCTTTGATTCGTCGCAATAGCATGTTTTCTCTCCCCGCAAAAGCCTCAACCCAACTTCCAGTAATACACAAAGTCCAACGAGTTGCCACTTCCTCCCTCAACTTTCTTTTTCATTCAGAAAATATACCGATGAAATACACCAAGAAGAAGAGAGCCAAGAATAGGCACGAGTTTTCTTGCCTTTTTCTCGTTTTCCACCGAGTCGCAAAAGAGAAAAGTACCTAATCCCATAACGAAAAGGAAAGCGCTTAGACACCCAGTGTATGTGTATATGGGAGTTTGGTAGGAAGAGGGTGAAAGTCGAGCGGAATGGAAACCAACCCCTCACAACTTCCCTAGAGACCTGAGGGGGTGAAACGTGGGGCTATTTTGTATGTTACGTGCGGACCACCAGGGCTCTTATCTTCCTGTACTCCCCCGCTTTTACGTACCTGAAATTTCCTATTTTCATAAAATCCGTCGCGGTACACCTGTCTGTGCGCATGTACCCAAATAAAAATAAACATCATTGCTAAAAGAAATACAACAAAGCAAGTGGATTAATCTCAGAATTATCTTCCTTGTGATTTCTCCTCAGGAAGAATTTTCCAGTGAGAAATAAAAATATTGCTACCATAAAACGATTACGAAGGGATGTCGAAATTTATGAGTATCAAAGAATCGATAGCAATATTGCAGGCAGGTTACCCGATTCCAAACGAAGGCACTAAAAGTAAATCGATATCCTCAAACCCGTCCATCCTCGTCTCGCAATTTATTTTTCTTTTATCTCTCACTCGGAACTTTTTTTATCCAACCATTTTTTTTTCCCTCTTGTGGAGAACTGAGGGTCCTTTGTCGGCTGCTCTCTTTAGTGCCACACTCTCGCGTCCTTTCATTTTCACGTAAACCCGTGTGTATACCTCAGGTTAGATCCTCTCAAGGCGATTCCACGGGACAAAACAAATTATTCGGAATCTTTGGCAGAGGGACATTTTGGATGATGGAGTTTATGATCTTTCTTTCTTCACTTGTGGAGACTCCAATGACTGGAGAGGGCACGTCTATTATTGCTCCAATATTTCAGGGATTACATACATTGCACATTGTTGTCCGCAGTATTGCGTAAACTTTGGCATTTCGAGGCTGATTTTATGTTAGAACTATTTGCATAGTCTTCGCATATCTCTGTTATGGGACACCTTTATGGAGTTGTGGCAACCCGAAGGTTAAATTCCTATGAATGAATTGATGAACATATTCAGAATATATTCTAAAATATTTTTATCGTCGTAAATACATGAATCTAGTGAAACTATATATTCATGAGAATTATGCAACCCTCATTTTTATTTATGGAAGTTATTTTTCGACTTTTTCAATGCCTGAAAAATATAATTTTCCGCTATCTAATGGCACCTGTCTCCTCCCAACGAATTCATCACCCCTGAGAACTCTTGGTGGAGCTGGTATTCCACTGATACTCAAGACATCAAATATTTACAGTGTTTTCCCATGAAAACAAAGTCTTCCTTGCCTTCTCCCCCATCAGAAAGCAAGACGAGACTGTAAAAAAAAAGGGAAAATGAAGCCGTTGGTATGGGTTTGAGTTTTCATCTGCGACCCTTCGCTATACAACCTCCTTCCTCCAAACCTCCCACGGGATTAACCTTTAATTCTATCCACCTCTCTCGAAAAGTCTCCTTACGATGCCAAGGGTATATACCTATACAATCCACCAAGTACATCTTGTGAAAAACTTGGACTGCTCTTCTTTCGGTACGCAACTTGTAAACTAAATTGTCGTAAGTCAATTAAAATAACGAGGAATTGTTGAAAAAAAAGTTTCGAGCCCTGTCAATTTCCCAGTGCAATTACCTCGACATTTATAGTTTGAAGTAATAATGAAGAAATAAAAAAGAATGGGGAGAATATTATGAGTGAGAGTAATGATGGGAGCAATATGTGCGCTTTTGCAACGACGAAGAAATTGAGAAACGAATGCGGGTGTTGCGATGGTATATGATGAGATACACAGTTCAAAGATCGATCGCAATTATCCAACGACTATCCTCTGTCTATCGCAAGGGCTACATGACGTGGAGTAAAAACGTGATCGACGTATCATCCTCGTGATGTGCAATGAAAGAAATCGTGCGGAGATTTTCTCATGGGGTTATTAATAAGAGAGAAAATGATGGAAATTGCCAGACCCAAGGGATTAAATAGTTATTAAAATATCATTAATAACCTCGAGTGAAGAGTTAGTCAATAAATTATTTGCCAGGTGAAAATTACTTTGGAAAATTCACTCGACTTGATGCGATATGTTATTTTACCGGAACCCAATTTTATCAGGGGCTCATAAAATATTCCAAATTTTCAACTCCAATGATGCCGAACTAACAAGTGATAATATTTTTAAACACCTCAGTCCCATCAATTTTAACTGAATGTAACATGTGTGTACGTATACATCAGGTCAAGTGGATCGATCCAGGTTACTACCTACCGACACTCCCAAGCCAACCCCAACCCACTTCTTGTCTCTCACCCTGGCAACTGCACTTCGCAAAATAGAAATAAGAGAATAATAATAAAAAAACGCTTATGCATTGTTGATGGATACGTGGTACGAGTATACAACCGAGTATCAAATGCACAATTGCTGCGAAATTGCAAGCATCGTATGGGAGTTTGAGAAGTATCATGTGCATTACGCAAACTTCTATCATATCACATCTCATTAAATTTCCATTGTTTGTATACAAAGCAGAGCGAGAACAGAAATAAAAAAATCTCACAGTGTATAGAGTGCTTATCGCAAGCAATATTTTTTTTTCCCTCGCAAGAGTAATATACTCTCCACTTGCTCTCCCTTGAGATGATAATTATTTATCCATTCATTGGTCTATCCGTCTACTTGTTTATGAATGAGAAATTTTGTTGAGGGCTAATTTCTAATTAATTCCGTAATGTGCAATGCTCTCGGACGATGATGAAAAGCTCGACTGTGGCGTATGCAAAGTGGCTGACGAGGGTGAGCCAGCCGCAGAGGTGCCACAAGATCGTACATTCGAAATAAAAAAATAAAAAAAGGTGTGATAAAGGTGCGCTCCTGTGATAAGGGGTTGGTGCGCAGAATCCCGGATAACGATTGCATCAAACTGAGTCGAGTTCTCGGATGCTATACACCATGTATGAGTGAATATGTACAAGGGATTTTGTGGCTGTGGTTATACAGGTGATACAAGAGCCAAGATCTGGGTCAGTGCAACCTCGCACGAAGGCCGGATCTGACGTGAGGTTACGACCCACTTAAAGGAACCTCTCCTACAACTCCAACATTATCGATTATATTTTTCATTCTTTTTAGCATTTTCTTTTGTTTCCCCCGACGATCGAATTCTCTACTGCCAATTCAAACGAAATAACACTATCCGCAAGACAAATCCAATATTTCTTATTAAAAAATAATTAATCCTGAGTGAATGTAGTATAGCCATGGTCTAACAAACACGTGCAATTAATCGAGAGAGTACACAGTTTTTAGATGTAGTCTGGGTTTTGGGGGATGGCTCTCGGGTTTCCAGATTTAACGCGATACTTCATTAGCAGGGGTCGACTCCCGACTGAAATTACTCACTTGTCCCTACGTATGAGCCCACCCATTGCTCTCTATTTTTTCATTCCACCGTAATTCGTAATGAAGCACTGGAAATTCAATAATTCTCCGAATAATTCCATGTAAAATCAGAGTTGCCCCAATTACGTTGGACGATAATAATTTAGCCTTTTGCAATTGCTCGAGCACATGAACAGTAATAAAATTTGTTCTGGGAAAACCATTAAACAAACAATTGACAACGAAAAGGACAACGGAGAGGTCGATAACGGTGAGTTTGCGCCGACTGAATAACCGAATTGGTATGGCGTGTGTTCGCGGGTTGAGAGTGGCTCATACCCTGTTGAAATCACCGTAACCCGATACCAAGTTCATAGGCGTATACCGGTGGAAAATGAGGTTGATGTCTCTCAACATCGACAGGCATCCCCTCCGGTAAGTGAGGGGGGCATCGAGTGTATGAGGTCTAACGGTGCGCTTGATCTCTTAAATCAAAACACACGAGTATTTCAATGTAAGAGATGTTTGTACTCCCACTGTTTCGAGGAGTCCTTTGATGCCATGAAAATATCCCACGTTAAAGGGTATCATGGGACCCGAGAGGGTTGGGGATGGTACACCAAGTGAAAAATCAACTGTGAGAGACCAACAGCTGATGGTATGAATTGTCGTTACTTGTTTCCACACGTATAAATCGAAATTTATGCTTGGTGAAGTACTGATATGATTTTTCCCTCTGCCGGGGCTATTTAATCCTCTTTGAGTATTTCAATGAGAAATACGAATGAGGGAAAAAATCATCAAGCTATAGATTATGGATGAACAGATATGAGAAATATCGTCATCCGAAATGAAGACTCGTCATCCATCAACGAAAGGGGAATCCATCAGCGAAAGGAATCACCCTGTCCCATCTACGTAACTGAATCCTCGTCAAATTGTATTCGATTATACCCCGATCTCAATTTCGTACCCTTCCAAATAATTAATAACAGGAGAGGATTCTCTACATACTCCACCCCACCACCGATCCACCGAAATGTACAATTTCACATCACCTCGAGCTCCAATTCTCCATTTACGCAACCAACCGTGGTTGTTTAATTATTGAGTCGAATAATGCACTCTCTGTGATTATAAATGTTATGCTAACTCAGGGATGTGTACGGTATAAACGACAAATTTTATGGGTCTGAAAAATCGTTGAGAAAGGATTATAAAAATTGAAAGACTGACGGCTGGATGACACGCGAGGTGATTATCCTGATGCCATTCTGCGAAGCATCAGGGTAATTCCGTCATGAAGAATAATTGAATATCTTGCATGTCATGGGAATAGGCAAAAAAAAGTACTGAACTACTCTCGCAACTTAGGATGTCATCGAATGCAAAGTTATTTACCCAATGAATAGTTACATTTTGTTATTTTTATTGGCTCCTCCAATTGAGCCATTTTATTCAATAAAATATATTTCCCAGTAGTAATCGCAGTAAACTAGAATAAAATAAGCCCCTCACTACTTTGCAGTGCAACTATTATAGCCAACTTATACCGGAAGTGTATTTATAAATTACACCCATTATTTCTATTTTCCGTACAAGGGGTTCTATAACTTTGCATTCACTCTCCATTCGTTCTTTGTTTCAATTAAAAATACCAAAGTGACTGTTCTGGATTTAACGTCCCAATAATAATGCGCAATTTTTTACTTTCTACTTTGATAATTTTGTGAATGGAAAAACTTCTCGTGTTCACCTCAAACTAATAAAATTCCATAAATATAGAATTTTTTCAATTACTCCATTAAACAATGTAATTATGAATTGATTCATCCCCCGATTGAAAAATCTCAGCCGACCCTCCCAGACTTCCAGATCATTAAATCCGGATTACCTGAACTCAGACAGTATTTTAAATTCCCCATGTTACTCCCATTTTTGAAATTCCGATCAAAATTCAACTAACAAGCTGAATAAAAAATAACATATCAGAATCAGTGAATCCGGTAAACCCAGAAATGGATAATGCCAGTGAAGTAGATGTTTCAATTAGTCGCCTTGCTAATGAGTCTATTCACCCGCTATTTATGCAATATTCATTTGTATCTGCAATAGGCACTGGACTGGTGGCTTGCAGACATGTACCTAACAATTCCGCTGGGTCTGCCCATCAATAGTAACCCAGGACTCGCAGCTAAACCCAAAAAATTTAGTTCTCAGACTGATGCAGCTACCTATCTGGCTAGATTCATCATGGCTTTGTTGGATTATCAGGAAAAATTAGATAGGTAAGTCTCTCGATCATCCACGTAAATAAGTTAATATTTTATAATGATGAAACTAAAAATATCGCGTCTCCGCATGAGTTGCGTGAACAAATCGATGCTGAAGAGTGACAATAGTTCTTCATTGATTGAAACTTTTATTGAAACCGAGTTTTATTTAAAATTTCGAATTTATAACATGGCCTCTGGAGTTCAGTGACCTCTGAACGTTAGCCATTCATCTCTCAAAAGCTCAAAACACAAATATTTTAGTTGCAATTAAATACGACCGTTGAATTCACGAAGTCTCAGTGCTTAACGATGTTTAGGCGTTTCTGCTAATTACTGAGTTGCAAATTAATGGGAGGTGGAGGTAAATTGAGGTCTTATCTAGGGAATTCGGTCAGATTCTATTGCTGGAACGTCCAGCCGGCGCTGATCGATCCATACCGCGAAAATACTATTAATGGTATTTTCATGGGTATAGGCAAGAGTTTATTTTTTGCCAGTGATGTCTCCAATAGAATTATTATTCCAAGAGATTATTCAGGATCTTGAAAACGCTGGGTATCAAGACAGAAGTAGAATAAAAACGGAAATTTAATTTTTTAGAAATTTCTCATGATTGCAAGAAAAGCTCCAAAAATTTGGAGAATCACCCGAGTCCAAAATTTAATTAATTCATTATCCCCTGTCCTGCCGTGGAAAAAGGTATCATTGTTCGATGACAATGGGAAACCAAGTAGAAGTCAATTTAAAAGGGTGGGGAAATGGACCCCTGGAAATCCGGATTGTAGGATATGCGAAGGCGAGCATAAAGAGGATGCCTCGAGACGGAGCTCTAGCTTTTTGCCCCAGCTCTTTCCTCAGACTTGTAAAATTCACGAGACTCAAAGCCTTCCTTCGCAGTATCCGGTATCCGGTTCCGAGTAACTAGAGATTCACTCACCAATTCTCGTAAATCATCCCGGAGCTCCAATGTGTGCCTGTGTTCCTCATCTGTTTGTTTTCCCCCCGAAAAGACTCGAGCTCATCCTTCCAGAAATTTATAATGAGGTTCCGGTGTTTAATTGGAGGTCAACTCCTCTCATTTTTTCACTTATCGCAGCATGGAGTCAAAAATATTACTCGTTGTCTCGATTTTCTGCTGAATTTTGAACGAAAATCGCCCGGCGATTTGTCAAAAGGCGGGAGAAAACACGAGTTGTGGATTTCCGAACGCGCGCTCGATAATAAGATCGATACCAGACTCTCAAAATTGTTTATTGTTCACCATTTTTACACTGAGACCATTGCTCACGTCCCCAGGAGTCGTTCAACAATGTTTAATGACTTTCTCTGATGATTTTACCGCGATAATTTGCGATTAAAAGCGCGAGTGTAAAATTTTTACGGCGTCACACGGTAGCCATATTGCACACTGGACCGAGCGTCTGCTCATGCGCGACTTCCTTTGTTTCAGCGGGACTTGCAAATATTATTATGATGATTATGATTACTTATCCTTTGTTTAACTGATTTAATTTATCCAACTCAATTAATTGAGAACTCTGATATTAATATGGAGTATATAAACAGTATTCGAACATTTTTTGCATAATTTTATAAATTGCCAGGAATGAACTAGAGGTGGAGCAAGTAAAAAGCCGAGACGGAAAGACAATGCAACCGATGTGCATGGCCCAGCATTACCAAATTCTCCGAACGTATCGTAAACCAGGTGAAATGGCTGACGAACACCTCCACCTGGACAGATCGACTTCCGGTGATCACATAATCGTGGCTCATCAGAATCAGGTATAAAAAAAAGCCATTGTGAAATAAGAAAATTCATAATCATTTCTCCGGAAACATAATACCCTGGAGTGCAGTCATTAGCATTATTTACGCTGTCACTGGCAGAGAGCCTATCACTTTCGCATGGAACATTCAGTGTCGTATGCAAACATTACATAATCCAGAGAATCACATAGTGATATGTTTGCTAATTTTTTGTGAACACATTGTGCCTTTCTGAGGGGGTCTAATGGCTTTGTGAGAGTCTCGAATGATATAAGAATGTGAAATGCATGGAATTTCCATTTATTTCCTAATTTGTCCTCGCTCACAATGTAACATTTAATTATTTAATAAATTAATGGCGATTTATCAATTAGTTTTACAGTGTACCTGTTCGTGCATCAGATCGTGGACGAATAACGGAGGCGGAATTGATGCAGCAGCTAATGAAAATTATAGAAACTCCAGCCGACCCACGTACACCACCCGTTGGGATCTTAACAGCGACAAAACGTCCTATCTGGGCTAAAGCGCGAATGGAGTTGTTGAAAAGTAATTATTCCACTGAGGCCAACATGTCTCACCAATTTTGTCACAATTCACATTCCCTCGTTCCCGGGAAATTACCCCCGGAATAATTATCTTGTCTCCTAGACCCAATATTCGTCATATTCCCAGGTTCATGTCCCCTTCCTCTGTCGATGGAGTCACTCCTCGCCCTTGTAAATCGAATGAGCCATGTAACGAGATAATGAGGCATTTTAACTCGCGGAGACCAGATACTTTGAACGATGAGTCCTTCCCCCTTTGCTTTAAACTTACCTTGTGGGGTCTAGGGCTTTAATTGGGAAGCCCTAGGGGCTTCACATGTACCTAAACTTTCGATTGTAATTTAAAATTGAGTAATTAAAAGGAAACCACAGAGTGGGGAAAAAATTCGTGAAAATTCCTAATTAATCCTTTCCAGACGAACGCAATCGTCACAACCTGGAGCTCCTGGAGCAATGTCTCTGCATCGTCTGCATCGACGACGACGTTCTCCCCGTGACTTTCAACGAACCGTACAAAAAAGAAGATCGATGGCTGAATGATCGTGACTATGCCAATGCACTTCATCATTGTCTCCACGGTGGTGGCTCTCGTCATCTCGGCGCTAATCGTTGGTTCGACAAGACTTTCCATATTATAATTGGCAAGGTCGAGATCTTTACATTCATTGTATAATATAATTACCATAGATTAAGCTCCCAACAGCCCAGTCATAAATTTGTTATTTCTCTTTCTATTGTTCATACCTCGAGAAATGATTATTGAGTGGCTTTCACTGGCGGAAGTTGTTTGTGGAATGATATAGAAATTATTTTTTATGAGACTCTTCAAAGTGATCAATTTCTTTCGCAAATCCATCGATGAATTTTCACCTCAGGATGGATTTTGGGGAGTAACGTACGAGCACTCGTCCGGCGAAGCTTCATCGATATTCAACGCTTTCGAGGCCCTCACCGAGAAAGTCGACGAAATGCCTCCCTCGGAGGAGAATCCAGTGCCCTCTCATCTTCCAGCACCTGAGAAATTCGAGTGGTGTCTCTCAGAGCAGAGCCTCAGCGACATTCGTGAGGCCATGACAGCATTCGATGCGTAAGTGTGTTCTCATGTTCCAGCGAAAACTTATGAATTCCTCCTACGTCACACGAGAATAATAAACACTCGTTAAAAAGTCTCGTTGAAGATCTGGACCTCTGCATCTTGTGGTTCGAGGACTACTCCAAGGAATTCATCAAGGCCTGCAGTATCAGTCCGGACGCCTACATTCAACTCGCACTGCAATTGACCTATTTCAGGTAACTTAATTGGTATTTCGTCATTCCATTAATTAACTCAATATTTATTCTGCTCTGATGAAACCTCCTCCAATGGCAGTCACCTAGATCTTACTTGGTACCGATATAAATGTCCCCAAAATATTTATAAATGTTAATAAATTGATCGATAAATTCTTATTTGAGGCTGCACGGTCGTTTAGTGGCGACTTACGAGAGTGCAGGCATCCGTAGATTTGCCCTGGGTCGTGTTGATGTGATTCGAGCAGCGAGTCCAGAGAGTCTTGCGTGGGTGAAAGCCATGTGCCAAGGAGATCCCGATGCCCAGAACGATGCCCAGGACGAGGGCTCCAAAAGAGTACAGTTCACCATTTACAGTGTAACAATCCTTAAACAATTACAATTGAGTGAGGCTTCTGCAAGTTGGTCGCACATTTTCATTTCTAATCGCTTTGTAATTATAATTTTACTCGATCCATCAAGTTTAATGTTTCGAGTGTGTCTAAATATTTATCGACCGAATGAGCTGCAATGGAATATGTTGATTCAATTTTTATATTAAATATCTTGAGCCGCCCAAGCCATCGACAAACAGATGCTCTCTTCTATTTTTTTTAAAGAGAAGCCCATTGTTTGTTGATTGTGGTGAAAGAGGAACGCAAAACACCGAAAATGGCAATCAATTAGATTCCAGCCGACGATCGAGTGTTTGTCGTGTCCTCGAGAGAAGCCTCGAGGGGGGAAAATAACGAAAAGCATGAGTGGTGGAATCCTCGAGGATTTCCCAGTGTTTTCTTTGCATCAGTCCCGTTTATTTTCTCAGAAAAGTCTCAGATACGAATCTATTAGTTCAGGTGTTCCACTTCGAAATGTAACAAAAAAAAAACAGAAACACTCGGTCAATGAGGGGTAATTAACGAGATATTTCCAACTCAATCGATCGAACTTTTACAGCTTCCGTAAAATTTTTCGACCCCCTGCATGAGTCACGCTAGCATTGACCCGACTAGAATGACAAATTTATTGTTATGAGTTATTTCTCCAGGAGCAACGCATCAAGGAATTGTTCGATCTGGCTGTACAACGTCAGACCAAGGAGATCAGTGATAACATTCATGGATACGGAATTGATAATCACTTGATGGGACTGAGGTACACCGCTCAAGAGACTGGCGAACCACTTCCGGAACTTTTCACTGACGAGGCCTTCAAGATTGTTCATCATTTTGCATTATCTACTTCTCAGGTAAGACGATAAAACATTAATCGCAAGCATTGTACTACAATTTCTCTCGTGTCACACACCTGTTATTACAATTTCACAGTGATAATCTCCCTCACAATTTCCTGACTGAAAAAAGTTACAATTGAAATTTGAAAGGCAACCTGACACTAACAATGAAACCCCTGGCAATGACATTCAATCCCCTTTCTAAAAAAAATGTGGTAATTAAAGGAGAATTGAAACATGGGGAGTCGGAGTGGCCGCAACCCCCAGGACAAAGGGCGAGCCAGGAAGCAATCCTGGAGCTCTAGCTCTCCCACACCGGAAGTCATCCACTACCCTCCCAACTTCCTGCAACCCCCTGAAAATCATTTTCAGACCTTTGCCAGTACCCCCGGATCTCCTGTAATGAATCTCGTAATTCCCTGTTTGTCCACAGGTGACGACGAGAAACGACGCAATTGTCGGTTACGGTCCAGTTGTACCTGACGGCTACGGGTGCGCTTATAATCTTCGTAAAAATGGTTTCATCTTCTCCGTATCTGCATTCCACAGTGATGGAAGAACTAGCGCTAAAAAATTCGCACAGGCACTTGAGATGAGTATGAGGGAAATGGCTGCAATGCTGAAGAACTCTAAGAAATAGCAATTTCAATTATGAAAGGGTAATGGCAATTACTTGGAAATCAGTGGAGACTATGTAGAAAATTAGATGAATTTGATAGGTGCTAATTTTCATTAATTTAATTAGAGAATCGAATAATTTGTGATAGATTGTGGAGGAAGAATATTGTTGCTTACGACAATGAGTTGAAGTCGCAGTTTTTACTTTAGCCAATGGACTTGCATTGGCGTCCGCACCAATGCACTCTTGTCCAAGCAAATTAGTAAATGAAATCGATGGTACTTGTCTATCTAGTCCGTGAAATGCTCTAACCATGTAAGTGCTTCAGTATTTCTCTTTGGTTGTTAAATTTATGGCCTACAATTACCAAAAGAAGATTATCGAGACCAAACAATTATTTACAAACGAGGAATTCTCATGATGTTCTTCGCAGGGCCGAGTGATTAAGAGTTAATTATCAGAGTAATATATCACGAATAGAATGAAATTGTTGCACACCTGTGGGAACAAATAACGTGAGTAAATAATTAAAAAAAAGTTGGTAAGTGACGTTGATCATCACTAGTTCGAAGTATTTTATGAGATATTATCACTAAAGAATTTACCCATATATTTACCGAATATTCTGTTTGTTGACGCAACCGGTTGCTGATTGTTAATTTATCTAATCGATTTATTTAACTATGAACGAGACAAAAAGAGATGTCTATCACTGTTGAATTGTCATATATGTACTAGCCATAATATAAATGTACGTGAAAGAACTATAGTTTGAAACAATATTGTGTTCTAAAAACGCTTAGACTTCGAAATGAAAGTATTTACCGACCCTAGACTATAAATAAAAGTCCAGCGTAATGAGACGAATCTTTGTGATCGCTTTGCGGCCAAGAATATCACACGCATATCAAGGCTAATCAAGCCTGTAGAAAGTAGTTGATTTTTAAATCAAGTTGACTTGTTAGAACTAATACTCTTCAAATCCTGTAAATCCATCAAGAGACCGAAGAAAATAAAAAACAAATCGATGTTATTGTCTTAATTAATTAAATTCCTTAATTTTATCCATGCTCTCCTGCCAATAATAATCCAGGAAGACACAGACATAAATATTCAATTACTTTATATTGCGTGATTACACAACAGCGACTATAATCTGGAATGTTGGAACAGGCACAAAATATCTATCACAATGAAGGCTTCAGAAATTTCAAATAACCAGCCAGTGCTTGTTCGTTAAGTAGATAAATAGACATAAACAAGCTCTAAGTACTTCAGCTGGGCACACGAGTGAGTAAATCAACGTTGACATCATCGTAATTTCTTGCAAAGGGATGCGAGAGCAGAGAATTGGCTGTCGGTCGTTTCTTTGGATCGTGAGTGAGGCATCTAGTGGCTAGATCTACACCTTCTACACAGAGATGTTTTGGAGGCGTTGGACTCTCTCCCATTCCCACCTGTTATCAACAAGAATATTTTTTTTATTCAAATAAAAAAGAAATTATTATGACGTATTAATTGATAAAGATAGGGAAATGAAGAATACCTTAAACATAATTTGATAATTAGAATCAAATTCGGCCCAAGGTCTCTTGCCACTGGCCATTTCCACAACACAACAGCCAACAGACCATACATCAGCAGCTCTGCCATGCCCTCCACTCTCAGTTTTCATAAAAACCTCGGGAGCCATATATGCCTGTGTCCCCACAAATCCTTGGAGTTCACCAGGCATTGTAGTATGCGCCTTGATTTGCACAGCACAACCAAAGTCTCCGAGTTTCAGACAATTCCCCTGATCCGTAAGAAATATATTTGCAGTCTTGATATCCCTGTGTACGATCCCATGATTATGCAGAACAGAAACAGCTAGAAGAAGCTGATGAGTGTATTTCCTGACGAATATTTCAGGGAGTCCATTACCAGAGCCTGCAACGAGACTCTCCAACGTCCCTTCAGCGCAGAATTCCATGAAAAGTAACATCTCCTCCCTCTGAATCTCAATTCCATAATAACGAACGAGATGTCTATGCTGGATTCCCTCAAAAATCTGTAACTCCTCGACGAGCCTCCGCACAGCTCTGTGATCCCCAGGTTGCAGGGCAACTTCCTTCATCGCGAGAAGTTCGCCAGTCTGATTATTAACAACTGTGTAAACTTTTCCAAATCTTCCCTGTCCAATCTTGATTCCTCTCTGCCAGGTGAAGGTTACCCTTTTTATTCTTACTTTGATTTTATCAACGGATTTCCTATCGGTGACTCTCCCAATGAGCTCGCTGCCCCGTCTCCTCTCGTCGATCTCACTCTCCAGTTTTTTCAACGCCGAAAGAATTCTCTCCTTCTTCACCTGCGTCATCTCAGGTACAGTTAAACTTACAGCTAAACTCCCATCACTCGAATGTGGGGACGAATATTTCCTCTGAATTCCTTCCGGAGACTTCAGGCTGTCCTTCGTTTTGGAAACACAGAAACTTGTTCTACTCCCAGAACTGCCTGGAGACGAGGCTCTGGACCTGGGCAGCCTCTTAACACCGTCTTGTTCTGTATGGGATCCAGGACCAGCCGCAGCGCCAACGACATGAGAAATACATCGATCCATGGCTTCCTTCAACGCCTCAAACTCCCTATCAGACAAATACTTGGTGTTGGAGGGCTCACAGACAGTCATCAAGTACTCAAACCCATGATTCGCCCACCTGGGTCTCAAGCCTCTGCCTCTTTCACACCTGTTTTTCACAAAGTCCATCCACAGCATGGCAAAGTCCACGAGCCCATGAACTAGGTGGCCCCTCTCCTCGGTGGGGAAAAGCTTGCAGACTTCCTTATGATAATCGAACCCCATCCTATAAGCCTGATGTAAAATCTCTCGAACTCGAGTCTTCATGGCCAACTGATCGTTCTCAGACTTGGGCTCCTCGGCCTCGTCAATCTTCGCCTGGAAATTTTCTATAAGAATAATCAGCCTGTCCCTGAGACTTAGAATAACACTCTTCATCTGACAGACTGCTATGCTGAGACCTCCTGACACATCAGGCCACTGACTGATGTCTTTCTTCAGGAATTTGGCAAAAGTGAGGCACTTGGTGATTTTTTCTCTCGCCTCGACGAACATTCCTTGCCACTCCCGCCCCGCGGACATCAGTTGGAGTTTAATGATAGATTCATCTCCCTCGAGGGCATCGGTACACTCCTTGATCTCCTGAGGCCTCGTCACTAGGAACTCCTGTATCTGCTCAATCATCGTACAAGTGATCCCACAGAACTTTATTCCTCCGATTTTATAGCCGTGCTGAATGCCCCCAGCTATGGACTTGACGAAGCTCCACTCGTCATCGATGAGGCTCTTGTGAAAGCTGTTGTACTGGACCATCTCCACCCACTGTCGCAGATAGTCGAGATAGACCTCGAAGACCGACTGGAGGCTGTCATCAAAGTCCTTGACATCGTCAAATTCGACGAGGGGTGATTGTGGAGGTGAGTCCACCGGTTTCCCTGGAATGCAGTCATCGAAGGCATGAACTGTCTTGGAGTGTTCCACAAATCTGTCCCGATGAATGCAGGCAATCTTCAGTCCCTCTCGCATCTCCCTCATGAGTTGTCGCACTGACAGGGGTCCGGGTTGCTCAGGTTTCTGCTCGAGCCTCATCCTCAGGAACTCATGGACAATGTCCAGAGGTACTCGAGATAAAAATATAAACGCAGATCTGTACGAGGGGAGATTCAGGGCTTTGGCTTCCGGGCTCCAGACCCCATAACGTTTGAGCTCGATGTCACCTTCGTACTCCTCGCTCGTTGAAAGCTCCTCCTCGGTGGTCCATTTCTTCATGGCAAGACTGGCTTTCCTGAGGACTGAGGTGTGAAGGCGTTCGAGAAAATTGAGACTCTTGCTGAGACCACGGGTTTTCAGGACCTCCTCGATGTATTTCCGGTAGGCTTGCCGGTCAAATTCCATGAGGTAGTGGTCGAGGCAATCAAGTCGATGGTCATCAAGGCCACAGAGAGTCGCTGACTCGGGAGTTGATGGCCAGGACTGCAGGAGGGAGATTCCTCCGGTGGAGGAGTTGCTGTTGGTGCTGTCTGATGGCGTGCTGTTGGCACTGTCCTCGGCGGAGGACAATTCGAAACGGACAACGGTGGGTTTCGGGTCAAGGAAGTCCGTGGTTTCTGACGATCTGGAGCTATTGCCAGAGTCAACTTCGTAATTTAAATTTTTTGGGCTATCCAGTAGCATCAGTAATTTTCCTAATATCTGGAGTTTCAACCGATGATGTCGAGTCATATTATACCACAGGCACATAGCCTTCACTCGGCCGGTAAACTCTGGACTCTTGTACATCGGGTAATTGGTGGCGAAGGCCTGACACGATGGGTAAAGAGCCTCGGCTGCCTCTAGCCGACAAAGTAGACTCTCGACTTGTTTGAGGGCGGTGAGCTGAGCTCTGGAGCAGGGCCTGCAGCGCATGCACAAACACCCCATACACGTGGGCTCCACAATCATAGGGGTTGATCCTTCGAAGCCACTGTCATTCGAACTCGATGCTGCTGAAGAGGGATTTGAATATGGAGCTGGGCTGTATCTGTATTCCATTATTTCAGTTAACAGGGGTCCTATGGCCTCCCTCTGCTTACAGAGATACTCATCCTGACCCACGAGACTCCTGTCTGCGTGATATGCCTGGAGTTCCAGCCAGATCAAGTCCTTCAGCTCGTTCTGCCATCTTGACTCCTCACTACTCATCTGTCTCCTGCAATTTTTCTCCCTGTCCGTGCTTCCCTGAATTAAAAATTCGAAATAAAAAAAATGGGATCATATTCATAAATTATTGTGAGCGATCGATGAGAATTATAGAATTCCACTCACCAGGCGTATTAAAAAGGCGAAGGTATCGTGAAATACTTCTCGCTCCTTCAAATTCTTTGGTTTGGTCTCCTCAACATTATCAACTGGTGTTACTGGTACGGGTGTAGCAAGTGGGACATGCTCCCTCCTCTTGTGATCAACATCCACCGGTTTAGATCGCAAACAGCGAAATCTATTCCTGGTCTCTATCTACGAAGAGATTTAATTTTGAAAAATAGCCAAGTGTTTATTTAGAGGAAGCACATGCATCGAAGCGAGAACATGACAGACAATGACGAACCACACGACGCCAGACCTTCATGTTGCATGGCACTGGTGCTGATCGACGCTCAGAGCGTTCAGCATAGTGTGCTGCAGCCTCAACATCAAGTTTCAGATCTCTCTCATTTCCTCGAGCCAGTTTCAAACTCCGCTTGGATTTTCTACTTCCCTCTTTAGCTGCCTCTTCTTTATCGCGAGCTTCATCGGCGTCCTCGCACATTTTATTAAAAATTATTGTGTCCAGGGTGTCGCGACGACAAATACTGGGCTTAGTGCGAATGTCCCTCGACACTGGTGAAGATTTTGTCTCGCTTCAATGAAAAAATCATTCAATTTTTGTGCTCACGACTAAAATAAAAAAGATACGATTGAGTTTAAGCATAATTGTGATTCCCTCACCCCCAGGAGATCCTCTGTTTCCTCTCCCGTTGCCTTCTGCTCTGTCTCGTCCTGGGCGGCGTCTGCCCATAAAAATCACTCATCTCGTGTAGTGGATCGTCTGAGGAAGGCGGACTCACTGAATTCCACCTCTCGTACTCCAACTCCCAGTGCTCAGCCATAACTACTATTCACTCTTTTCCCTTTTCAAATAATCACCTGCATACTCGGATCATTCTGTATCAACAGAAGCGCCGCGATAAATATCTCATTTTCTCGAGTAATTCACAGCTTTCATTTATCTGACATTCTTCATCAATCAATCTAATATTTCCTGTCACCGAAAAAATACTATGCGAAATTCCCTCTGTGGATCCAAATGACTGATATCGCGCATTACCTATTATGAATCAATTCAAAAGATTCCGCCGATAAGACTTTTATTCCTGTATACATGTATCACCTTGTTATCACCAAAGAACTCCAAAAAAATCGTTAGATAACGCGAACTAATCGTCACCCTAGCAACTTATTACGCCAGGATGTACAATGTTTCAAGTGCACGTAATGTTGATTTGATAATCGTTAATCACCATCAGAAATTCGATAAATAATTCAACAATGGAAATTAATCCAATGAATTCCGAGAAAATAGCTGAAACGGCGATTTTTAATTATTGATCCCATGATTTTTTACGAAGCACTTATTTTATATTAAACTTTTCTGACTGTTTAATTGAGATATTGTATATTTAATCTGTCTATCCGAACATAAACGACTGTCTCTGATGTAAACAGAAGCGCGAGACGAATACTGAATTGTTTGATAACAAGTGCAATAGCCCTCTGCACGTATTCCACTAATGCAATTTATCGCGACTGTACGTAGATTGCGCGGTAATGTATATAGTGCGAATTGCGTGAGTATAAGTGGAAATTATCACGTGCTGGATCGTGATAGGGGAATCCGATGGCAGCACTTGACGGAACTGCGGAAATATTAGGGCAGGTACATTTATTCAAGGTCATACTGAAAGTATGTCGAATTATGGAGCCGTTGATGAATCATTTCGTAATCATTATCGTAATTATTATAAAAAAAAAATATGATTGCATTGAGAAAACAGACCGAATTACTCCGAAATGCTCCGGCGAATTTTTCTTTTCTTTGTCATGGCATTTGGAGATTGGAGTTCGATGAAACGTTCAGGGTCATTTGAGTCAAGGTCAATGTGTCGATCTGTCAATAAAGATATTCATTAATCCGTTAGTCATTCGTTATAATTAGGGATAGTCAAGTTGTTATTCTTTTTTATGAGGAATATTGATTTTTACAGAGTTATTTGGTTGGCGGGTTGTGGGGAAATGTGACATTTGGAGGTTATGGTGATATTACAGGGTAATTCATTAGTATACTTGCTCACCCCTCGAGGAATCAATAATATTCTTGATTCCCAATTGCAACAATCCAGGGTTTCCGGATATCTCACATTTTATTCATTGTTAATCAATGACAAATTGAGGGGATTGTTTGGTTTTCGAACTCACGCCCACCTGCCCTGACAACCCACACAAAACTCCGAAAATGTCTCGTGATGTCTTTCCATTAACCAGTCACAATTAGACCAAGACTAATTAATATTGATCCCTAATTTATCCTAAAAACGTGACTAATCGCATAACAATTCAATTTCTTCTTTGCCCGCGAAAAAATTTCTTTCTATATAAAAAATCTGCCGATCTTCATTTTTTGCATTTAAAATCAATAACCGGTTTTCGTAAAAATAGTTCAGTAAGCCTAATGAGTAAAAATGATTGGACATTTGGGATAAGAAACTTTGGATTTAAAAATTGGCGGGTTTTTCCTTGATTAAAGATGTCATCACGGTTGCGCGCTGCCATTTTGGAGGTTCAGTGCGCGGGAATGACCAGCAAACATCGAAAAATAATTCTGAAAAAAATCTATCCAATAAAATCCTTCACATAAAAACTGTACGAATGCCACTGTAACCTCGTGAATGTATAAGCCTTTGTGAGTATGTGAAAAAAGAGTGGATGACCCCAAATAAATAGCCGACACTGGCGAAATGAAAGTGAAATGGCAAAAACACGAAGATCTCACAAGGAGTAAGACAGCGAATCGATGTAAAACGTGGGAGAAGGAGGTGCCCTCAGGAATCAACGACCTGGAGTAGATGATTCATCCCAGGGCCGAGTGTTGAACCGGTGAAACTGGGTCTACGACCCACCGCCGCACGCTAAATCATATCCATTTTATTGTCAACAAGTGTTCAAGGACTTGACCGAGCATTAGCATAAAAATCGGCATTCTCCGAATGCTCCAAAATTCACTCCAAACCGAATTTTCATTTTCCACCTCCACTCGCTGCTAAACCATTAATCAAAAAAATATGGTATCGATAATTGTTTACAAATATGAATAATTGATTGAGCAAATCATGACCACTTCGTCATTAATAATAATTGCAACAAATTTGGAGCGCCTCGTGATACGCAGCCACGATAAAAATCACAAACAATAAATATTATTCGTTTATTATCTCTAGAGAAACTCGATACTCATCTCGTACGATTTTACCTCGATTGGTGGGATAGCAACAGCCGACGGTTCGAGAAAGAAGAAACAAAGCAATCAAGTGAAAAAAAAAAGCGAGCGACACACGCCACTTCATCCGTCCTTGTCCCTTATAATTGAAGCATTGGAGATGAAAACTTTCTCGCTCTGGAAGATAGCGACGTCGTGATGACAGACGGGGGATTCCTCGATTGGTGTTTGGAGCTGGTGATATTGCCCCTCTCCTCGCACAACATCCCGCAGAAATTCAGACGATTCAGGCCTCTGCAGGCAGGTGGTAACAACCCCCCTTCTCCTTGTTGTGATCCCCTTATTCCTCGAGGGGATTAAAATAGGTCAGGGAACGGCTGATCCAACAAGTGCATAAGAAATCTCAATTATTTCACTCGTTCGAAAATCATCTCGAAAATCTTCGCATAAATCTATTTCCATTTATTCGAATTTCTCCCATTAATTTCCAATGCACTATTATTATTATTGTTGTATTATTTATTCATTATTGGTATTTTTTTTAATTATTTGGACGATTCAAATTGGAAAAGTGGGGAATGAAGAGGTAAAATTGAATTTATTGGGGGAATTTAGAGAAAGTAAAATTTGCAAGTATTGGGAAGATCCGAATTAGAAGGGGAAAAATGGGAATATTTTGAAGGGCACCGCGGAGCGACGATGCCCCCACTGCCGATGAAAACTTGGTCCACCCCCACCACAGCTTCAAGATGAACTGAACGTGTCTGAACACGTTCACTGCACGTTGTTTCACGCGAGCATTCGGACGCTCACTGCGAGACTCCTCGTATCCCAATCATTACAACTTGTTGATTATCAACAGATCAAGTGTGAGAAAATTTATTGTACAACAGTGGTGATTAACGCAAATGCGATCGCTGGTAGATGAGAAAAAAATTCGCGCCTGGTCCGACATACATAGAATACTTTACTGCAGGGGAGATCCACTTGTCAAGGATGGAGAGTAGTTCCAGGAGATTTTTCAGGGTGAGTACAGTGGAGTCTCATTATTCCTTAATTTTTCATTTTTTTTTTAATCAACACATGGAGTCACGACTGGATCCGAAATTTCGAGGAGACGGTGAAACGTTTGACAATTTCATGAAACTAAACTGCAATTTATCTGAGACTCAACTTTTTTTATCGTTACGATAATGCTCGGAGCATTAAACTGCACATTTTCGTATTTATGTTGTGACAAGTGGGGAGCAATATTAAATCAGACTATCACAGCGGAGCCTGATTACTCATCATTAGCAGTTAACTGTCATAACAATATTTTGGGGTACAGTGTGATGTCATCGTCACTTTCGATCTTTAAATTTCTCACAACAAATAATGGGGGAAGTGAAGTGACACATCGGATAACAGGTAACCTCGAGGTTCCTGGGAATTGTGCCATTATTAAAAAAATTTTTTTTATTAATCTATTCAGAATTAACGATTGTCCTTAAAGGAATTAAACGAATTAAAAGAATTAAAGGAATTGAGGATGAGGGAAATTCACCTGAAGGGGTGGTTATTTTCTCTGGGAGATTTTGTGTTGCGGCGATTTTCTGACGCAACAAGTGGACCTGCAAGGGAGAGCGGCGCCATATTGAATTGAATTTCAAAGGTAGTTTAATTGCTTGCTTTTAACGCGGGGAAATTTTGCGTTGACTTGAAGACAAGGGAAAACCTTGTATATTGTATCATGTTCAATTTATAGAATTAGATTGTTTAAATACCTAAAATTCAATAAAAGTTATTACTATACTTTACACACATGACAATTATTCGCAAAAGGGAGCCATTTCTCTAATCTTTTAATTGATGATCGTCAGTATAACCGATCGTTCTCGATTTCCAAGAACTGAATTGAACTTTGGAAATATATAAAACGACCGAGATCAATAATCTTCGGGTTTCAATATCTCGGATGGAAAACCGCGCTTTCTAGTAAGCTTCCGAGAAATAATCAGCCGACTCACAGGACGTTCGCACCGTTTTATTCCCTCGTACATAGCAACGGATGAGGGCATGACGAATAAAAAGGATGCCGCCACCGATTTGATAACGCACTTATTACCGTGGAGTTATCAATCCACACGAAAAGGGCAGCCCAAAACCGATGACGCTTATTGAATAATTATTTCGCACCATTTTATTCAATTACACTGGGTCATGAGCGCTCAATCTCGGCGACATCCTCTCCCAGATATCCTACCAAAATCACGACCCACTTGGCACAATTTTCGCCTTCTGCGAATGAGAGAAGGCAGATAAAGCGTTAATCTAAGTATTTCGCAATAATTTTTCGACGCCCTCCTTCGATCTCAGGGCGACCCATTAAAATCGCATTAGCAGAGACTCATCTCTGAATTTTCATATAGATCGAAATCATTTTTCAGATTTTTTAAGAATTGAAATTTCTCGGAAGTCATTAGATGAAAGCAGCTCGAGAGTTGTCTTCGATTTGTCAAGTTTTTTTTATGTAACACACGTACCAGTTCGTGGAACTCAATTCCCCCTTATTAAAATTCTCAATTTCTATTGAAACCGAGGCGCAAGATTCATTTTTATCATTTTATATACCTGATCCTAAAAGATGGGCGGAAAGATTTCAAGAATTGAGACAATAAAATCGAACGATGTACGGTGGATTTTGACGCGCAGACGTGAGGGGATGACTCATCTCCTGAGAAGTGACTTTTCATAATATCCAGACAAAGGGCTGAATATCTGATAAATATGAAATTCAGAAAAATAAGTCAATTGTCGTGATTCATTTTTCAGAGAACGAGTGGTGCCAACAATTTTATATTATCGTCGCGCCAAAATTACTCATCAATAAATCCATTTTCTTGTCATTATACATTTGATTGAATGAATTTATCAAAACGCGATTTATTAGGCTCTGGAAGCTTCTGACGTTCGCCCAGCACGTGCCATTGTTTGTCCAAGATAACTCAGTCCCAAGAAGTAACTTAAGTCACCCCACTTGCACCTCTGTCTAAGTAAAATATTCCGATTAATTTTGATCGAGTGGATTGTCACCTAATCATCTCATTACAAAGTCAACGAGAGATATAAATACTAAATCGTACGATACAGGAGTTGCATGATCCTTGGCTGTCAGTGTCTTATCGCTTATTTCTTCCCATACGTGTACGTCACGGACGCACCACGAGGCCATTGCATTTAATGCGTCATCATTCGCTGTTATAAAATCTCTTTCTCCTCTCACTCCCTCCAACTTGACCGCAGCTTTTTGTATCTCAAAAACGATATTACACTGCGTTCCGCTGAATTTTATTTAGTCTCCCTGAAATTGGAGAAGTCTTTTTTTTGTACATTAAACAGAAATCAATCCTGCGATTCCATTTTATATCAATAGCCCTGACTTTTAATGATTTTGCAACTTCCAATGGAATCATGCGCTTCAAATTCGAAAGATTTTATGAATATATTTCTTTTTCTAATGAACACTCATTGCCTGTATCCTCTCTATAATAGCCTCCCCCCCGAATACGAATGAAAGAAGAAAAACAGCGTCATGATGGAGAACGGGTTCATCCCCCAGTTGTTTTATTTTTCTTTGGAGGTCTATCTGAGACCCATCACTAACCACTTGGCAAACGCCACGCACTTCTCATGGAATGCCCGAGATTTCCGTCTTTTGCCTCGCCATCAAACACTTTCTCTGCTCCCTGCAGTCCCCTCTTTTTCCCTCTGTTTAGGTTTTGGCAGAAAAATAAAAACAACGGAGAACTGGGGAGGGATCTAATCGCACACCGGCCCTCAGTTTTTTGGGGATCAATGAACCCACTAAATTCGGATTATGCAATTCGAACTGACCACACGCAGTTACTAGAATTTTAATACCATGTGGTGTAGAAAAATTTATGTCTTCATTCATGTCTTTTGTAATTCTACAATTTTATTCATCGTTCTAATTTTTTTTTATCTGCTGTTCCAGATGGTGAACTCACAACTAATTCAATTGATGATGCTCATGGCGATAATGGCTCTGGTAATTCGAGAATAATTATCACTCAAAAAAATTATTGGAATAGTAATGAGGAGATAAAGATGTAAATTTTTTTTTTCAGGGAGCTGCCACGGAGACTCCTTGCGAGGACGATGGGGACTGCCCACCCCACCAATTCTGCTACGATGTATCCAATATTTGTGTTAATTACAGTAATTGTAGTCAATTTAATCGGGAAGAGGGTGAGGAGAAGGCTCAGAGCCCTTTGCAATGCGGAAAATGTCTCGAAGGGTGAATATTAATATTTCCGATCGACCAGGATGTTTAGTAAATCAATAAATGAATTATTTTATCAATAATTGAATTTTCAGATACGCCAGCAATACACTAGCCACCGGCGAGGAAGAACCGGTGTGCAAGAGGAAAATTCAACTGCCTGTTGATCCCCCAGGTGATTATTCCCCCGATAAATTCAATGCCCATTAAAGTACGACCATGAAATAATTAATTAGGCTAATTGCTGTTATTTATTCATTGCAGCCATGAATGACACCTCTCAATGGTGGATTTGGGTAGCGACTGGAGTAGGGTCTTCATTTGTCGTAGGCATCGTTCTTTTATTACTGCGTAAACGTGAGTAAACATTAAAAACCATAATAAAGAAATGTTATTAAAATTTAACTTGAATATTCATGGGAAAAATTAAATAAACTGCAGGTCTTCCGGAGAGTCACGAGAAGTGGTTCAAGGCCATGGGGACTTGGAAATTCACCCCCAGTGCCCCGCCACAAGAAAACGGTAAGAATCACCCCTTCAAATGTATTTTTTTTTATAGTACACGTCGACATAAACACAATTTCACGAAATTACAGTTTTTGTTACAGCATATCGGCTTCAACAACCGTTTTATACTGATGAAGAGCCCCCGATCTACTCATCAGTTATCACTACTAATAATAATAATAATATTAATGCCAAGGAGCGATTGGTGAATGCAATACCGACAACCCCACCTTCTTGGGTGCGGGTTGATCCAAGTTATGACGAAGAGGACGGGACAGTCAATACTTCAGGATCCACTGCAGTCTCGATGACCATCGAGGTGGAGGAGGAGGAAACAACGCCAAGTTCCTGGACCCCCGAGTAAGTTCTTTTTAAATGCAATCCCCAAGAGTGGTATTTTTTTATTAATTTTATTTGATGTTCAGTCTTTAATTTATTATTCGATAAATAATCGCGTAAAAATGACCGGAAAAAGGATGAAATATCTCGTGAATCTCAAATAGCGTGGAGTGACGAGATGGAAAGGGATCAGAGATCTTAAAAAAGCTCGATCCCCTGCAGAGTGCATCTGCCTTACGACATGTAAAATTTCTATTTATGCACCGTGTCCAAAAAATCCCCAAGGGGAAATCCCAAAGGGATATGTGCGAAAACACGGTACCCACTTATAGTATGGTTCACTCACCTCAGAAAAACTATTACGCATGAAACTGGTTCATGAGTCACAGGGAGAATTGCATACGTGTTTTGTATCTTTATAATTATCCTAGGGTCCCTCGGTGCACGTGGTGCCAAATAAACATCTGTCCTTTACGCTTCAATGTCTTAAACGTCTTCACAAGTGTCAAGCTTCATTATTTATTTCCCGGGGTTTATTTAGGTATGAGGTGGTTTTTTATTTGAGGTCAAGGCCAGGCAAATTATTTTGTATTTCAATAAAATAATAATTATTCGTGAATTATCTGTCTTGTCATTAGGTTCTCTATATTTTTTTTTCAGAAATGTTACGGTGGAAGTACCGGTACGACCATTCCTTCAATTTGGAACGGAACAGAGGGACAATGTTTTGAATTCTGTTCTGGTTCGTGGTGACTGCCGTTCAAATTCAAGCCCCACACAAGACACCACCCCCGAGCCCTCTCCAGAATCACGGGAAAGAACACGGGGAGGAAACACCTATCGAGGGACCAACGTCCAGATCAACCAAATGATTACCCTTAATATGGTGAAGAGTGATAATTAAATTAAACCCACACAGTGCCAAATTGTTAATATTTATCTCGGTTTTCACGGTACCACAAGACTTGCTATTGCTCAATTAACCGTGTAAAACTGAGAATGGGGGGGGAGGGAGGTGGGATTTTCTCTAGGTATTTTTATGGTGGATGGACCATGCAAGTCTCAATGGATGACTAGTATTACTTCAGGGATGCTGGGTGATACTGCCGACTTTCTTGTTTCACTCGAATTTCCTCATTGCATTTTTTCCTTGGAATATTAAATTCCAGTCAGGAATATTTTGTTTGCTCTTTCGAGTTGCATACTCTATCTTATTTTTGTATGGATCTTCTGTGGAATTGTATGGAAGAGAATTTAAGAAGTTCAGAGCTAGCCTTACGAACATATCTTGTTGCCATGATAATTCATTGGAATTAATTCCCTCTATTCGTTCGTTATTTTAAGGTATAATTGCTCTGTCGACATCGAGACAGCTCGATCTCCTTGTGATTTTGTTTTTTTTACATAAATAATCGTTTGTATAAATTGTTTCTCAAATTATTGTAGGAAGCGCAGTTTTTAAGGACTTTTCCTTCCTGATGCAATATTTTGCAGACGAAATTTCTTTTGGGATGTTCAACGATGAAGGGTAGAATTGTACAAAATTTTTGTTGCAGTTGAAGATGATTTTAGAATATTTACATTCTTATTTGAATTTTACAGTGAAATTTGGGTAATCACGTAGTGGAACCTTCATTTGTAGAGCATCTAATATTTTAATCGTTGGTGATAATGGAAGGAAATGATTATCATTAACTGCATTAATTATACGTGATCAATTATCCATTATTGCGAAGAATCATTGTATATCGCTAGCATAATTTATCTGCACAGTAGTGAAATTCATTTTCACGTATACATTTGTCAGGATCATAGTTGCATACTTACCTCACGTCACATAAAACTAAAATAACTCTTTATTTATGATGAATCCAGAGGTTAAGGAAAATTCAATGGCTAGTCACGTGTCTCCAGTGAAATTAAAAATTTATTTAACAAAAAAAAAACAATTACCATTAAATTATCAATGGGTTACTCGTTTAAAAAAATATAAAGTTATAAACGTAATACTATTATTCTTACGGAGACATGACTTAAATTAAATTTTCAATGGAATATGAGTGGCTGGGGCTACGCTAGCTATCTGGCCCTGTAACAAAACCACTAGGAACTAGAAAATTACACAAATGTCTAAATAAAAAATACATTTTTCAACAGTGACTCGGCGCCTATTGCTTTGCCCCAATAATCCATTCAATAGGAAACTTGCACGATACCGATTATTGATTACTGGGAATTCCTGCTATTTGGTTATTTATCGAGAGAAAAAATACTGAGCTCCATGGAAGTTTCCTATGAATGACGAATGTTTCGAAAATACTCAAGCCATCGATTAATTCCTATCGTGTTCAGTGGCATTTGTATATATATTATTAGGTGTCTACCCAATCTCTACAAAAATATGGCCTCCAATTTGACGCCTTGACTCAATTCCCGAGATTCCTCGACGGATTAATATGTTACAATAAATTTGATAGGTCCAGTAAATGATTCTTGGGCAGTGGCTCGGTATCCCTAACACTAGTATCTCTTTAAAACCTTTGGAAGAAACGAAAACAAAAACACGATACGTCCCAGCGGATAACTGCTATATTTAATTTGGATATTTCTGCTCTGTAAATAAATTCTGTGCATGACTCTTCATGTGGTCTTTTTTTTTCAACGGGACGATGACTAAAGATCGCTCTCAGCGGCGCCATACGAGCCCACGACATATGCAACGACTGTGGCATGATCCAACTTACCAGGGACCATCGATATTTTGTCAAGCATCTTCTTCCTTCGCGATCTTTGCTCGAGTTTCGAGAGCTGGACTAATTGGCCGTCTTTAGATTGAGAGTAGTAGAGGTCTGCGTCCTCGAGAATTCGTCTCTTAGCAGCGGTTATTCGAACCTGAAAAATCACATCACATACCACATATTTGCACAATTAAAACGAGCATAATTAATATAATTAAATGAATTGAATCTCCTTATTTACGCGACATGTCACTCACCGCAAAATCAAGTACGAGCTCGCACAATTTTTTGGCACTTTGACACGGAGGTCCGTCTCCAGAGACTCCCCTCCTCAGCAGATCCTCCATCCTGAGTAAAGTGAGCTCGTGTCGTTGATAAGCCTCAACAACGGGTAGATCATGGCCATCGGCATGACCAGCAGAGTTAGTCCTCCTCACATGATCAGGCCTCTTGTAGCTCTTGGTCTGCCTGCCATCGGACTTGGCCGAACGAGCCGAGCTGGGGCCACTAGGAAGAATAGCGAATTTTCCAACGACCGGATCGAAATTATCCGAAATTCCATCACTAGTCAAGAACACAATGTCCCCCAACTCGACCTCAGTCATCGCCAGGGTGAGATTATTCAATTCCGGGTTACAACCGTCGACTGGACCTAACGCCCCAAGAGCATCACGCATGTCTCGCATGCAGTGAATATCGTGGGAACCGCGAGTTATCTCTCGCACTCCCGTTTTTCTAATTAAAAGAGAGATTAAAAAATGAAAGGGCAACCTTTGAGTCAGAGTAACAGAAACTCCAGGAGCAATGGTACATTTAAAAAATGCATAAAACGTACTTGGAATAAACATAAGCAAGACTATCGCCAACATTACAAGTGCAGGCGACGTATTTCTTGGACCTGGCATTAGCTCCCGGTGCACTTGGCAATGGCAGGACAGCACACACAGTCAAAGTGGTGAGCATTCCCTGTTCCTGGAGTATCAAAGCGTGAGCCGCATGAAATGAGCGTAACAGTGCGATGAATACGTCACGTGTTGTCGTAATACCGCTGTTTAATGACGATGAAAATAGTGCTTTGTTAAGGTAGTCCATGCTACCGTGCACAGCTGAACGCGCCGCTATACTCGCCTTTGGACCTAATTTATAAGTTTATCATTCCTTCTCTCTAACCAAACATCTGCCATTCCCTTTGAACCCCAAGAAATACCAATGATTTACCAAAAAAATTGGTAAATTATTCTCACCCCAATTCACACCGTCAGCAAGTGTTAATACAGCTGCATTCGGCCTGGCAGCCACAGCGAAGCAATCGGCAATGGGTTCCCCATTAGTCACGTTATTTGTTGGATTTTTTTCGTAAAGAGTTGTTGCAATTCCAAAGGCCATGTCGTGAGGTGAAAACCAGTCTGTTACTCCCGCTATTTCATGACTGCTGACTGAACCTGAAATAGTCATTACACTCGATCGAGACAGTGCATCGACTAATTGACGGCTAAATTATACATTTCAACAGAAATAAATAGAAAAGAAAATAGAATTTAAATGGCAAACAAGGACATGCCAAGCAGAACTCATTAAAATCATCAAGCATTTTCCAATTTGTTCCACTCAAAGAAAACCTCATCTAGCAGATAAAAATTTCAGCAATAAATCCACAAGCGACTCCACACCTAAATCTCAATATAATGTTGAATAAACATGCTGATAACATATTGAGCACCTTGCTGGGACTTCTTGAATGGTGCTGGTGCACTCTTGGACTTCCTGAGAGGAATCATTTCATTGGCGAAATCAGAGGGAGGTGGAATGATATCGTTATCAGAGTCAGCCTCGTCCATGTTGTCAAGAGTGTCATCAGAGGCTGTCCTGAGGACGAGGTCGATCTTATCCCCATCGGAATTATCATTGAGACTGTCACTCGAGCCCTCGAGTGGATCCTCGGTGATCCCCTGGCCAATGAAGAAATCCCCTGGTGGTACGTTAGCATTGACACAATTTGTATCGAATCTAACGCTCGCCCTGGCAGTCTCACTCATCACATTATTAGACAGATAGTCATTATCAATGTGTCCCTCCATAAATTTAACGCTGTAGTTTTCATTGATCCCTGTTGTTTTCTCACTCATGCTCATCGTGTACTTGCTATCTGGCTCGTACAATTTTCCAGCTGCACGTATTTTAACGCCACTGTTGTCTATTGGACACAGTGATGTTTCTTTTGTGCGAATGACTAGCCAACGATCATGGGCCACGGAAAATATACAATCCATCGAGGTGTTAACTGCGTTTTAAAGTCCAATTTGTGATTGGTAGGTGTGTTGTTGGTTTTATAAATTAAAAGAAAATATATACAGACGCGTTTACAGGGATTCAGACAATTTCTGCAGGAAATGTGTCCTTAATTAACTAGAACAATCGAGTCTCTCGTGTAAAGTGCATGTCAATGGAATAATGTTGTGCTTATTTCAATCCAATTGTTTCTCCTGCCGACTCTATTGATTTTGTATGAAAATAGAAGGGTCAGATATTCTGAGACTTGAAGTCATAGAAAATGTATGGAACTAGCGTACATGGCGCGCTATATTTTCGTTTCTCGCGTTTTGATCGGCTCCTGTGCACCCTACAGTGAAAAGGGCGCTTATTTATCATCCCTGTGGATTCCTTCGAATTTCTCGAAAACTATCTGCCCTAGTCATTTAAATCCATCGGTACCAATGCCGATTCCTCAGGCAGTGTTCATTTGTTACTTTTTTTAAACGCATAGATATAGTATGCATATCAATTATATAATAATAATGTAATATTATATTAGATTTATGTATACTATATTATATATTATATAATTTTTAAACTTTAAATTGAAAAAAATATATATATATTTATAGGCATAGCTTAGGTATGTGTTGAAAAAAACTGACAAAAAACGTTACATGCTTTTTTTTTAAAGGGAAACTCGAGGGTATTGTTCTTTTCTGTTCTGTCCTGTGTATTTAAATTAGTGAGAATACCTGGGAAAAATAAACGAGGACTTACCAGTAGTCTGGGGATCACTCTGCTCGAGTATGTCGATGTAATCGACATCTGGGTCACTGATACTCAAGTGTCTCTGCTTGAGGTTTACCGTTGTCAGGCCACGATCAGGACCGGTTACAGCCGCAAATACTTCTTCATCGTTGTCTAGCTTACCCAGCGGTTTCGAGGGCAACTCCTCCGGGTTTCTGCCATGGAGAATGACAGGTCCCTCGGTTTTTTGGTCCAGTCTGAAGATAAGTCGATAAATTATAAGAAATAAAAACCAGAGGAGAAATGTCTTAAATTATTGTACTTCAACTGTAACATACCCGTTCAAATATCTCGTGATGAAGCATCCCCCCAGGATATCAGCTGGTGGTGACCTTGGTGGATGCAATGAGCCCTCACCCTGTCCAATGCTCTCAACAGCTGCTGTCAGATTACTTATCGAGAGCTGTCGCATAAAGCCCACGACCTTCTTCCTCAGACTCGGCATTTCTATCAATTCCTCTTGGAATTATCACTGAATAATTTGCTGATGATTCCCTCCCACTGTTTCATCCCCAGACATCACTCTCCGACTATCCAGGCCCTCGTCACATTTTCATCATAATCTTAAAAAATCAGAGATTAAAATTGAATAATATCACTCGTAATGAGAGCAAACACAAAAAGCCTTATTCAAACATCAATGCAAAACGTAAAATCGTTCCATCATCTTTCCTCATGAATTGAATAATGGCCCAATAAAAGCCTTCGCAACCCCGAGATTCACTTCAACCGTTCAATTCATTCTCCTGCTAAAAATATTCAAAACATCTGATGAGAAAAATATTTATTGATCATTGACCCAACGGATATAATTGAAATATCGAGGGACTGCGTTTCAACTTAGAATTGATATAAATTAATCAGCAACCTAGTAATCAGATACGTTATCATCGCACCCACTTCCTCAATAACAACGGATGACTCCCGCCAATCAATAACCGTGAATCTCACAAGAAACCCAGAAAATCCTTAACTTCCCACACATCGCAGACGCTTTAATCCACCCAAGTATCAATTAAAGCCCGACACTAATAAGCCGCCAAGAAATGTATGCACCACTGCAGTTGCATCAATTCGCATCATCAAACAATCACCAAACAATAAATTATCCCTTCACTCCTCCAAAACTAATTAATCAATGACCTTGATGGAAGGTAATAGGATTTTTGGTATTAACCTGTGATCGAGGAGCATCAGAACTCGAGGAATGCAACTGATGGTCTAATGTGAAAACATTTCAATTACATTGCATCCGCGAGGAGGTTCTTTTTTTATTCTGATGTGTCTCTTGTGTGTTTGTGATGAATACTAAGGTGCGGAGGGTCTCACAGCCATGTTGAATAATCTGTCAAACACATAACCTACAGTAAACAAATTTCTGGGGTTTTTTATGTTGATTTGGTTGGAGGCGTGCGCAGTACAGCCAATAGCACCAGGAAAAAGGACTTGTTGTGGTTCAGTGGAGAATTGGGGATCGTGGAGGTTTTGGAGCAGTCGAACAAAGAGAATTGACTGAAGTAGAGGCTTAGTTCTGGGGGTTTGACTTAACACTTTTTCGACTAACCCTTAACCAAATCCAATTAACCATTAACCAAGTCAATCCTCATTGCAGTCGAATGTCAACAACGTGCTCCAAAGGTCACACAAGAAACTCTTCACTTTTTAAATAAAATAGTCTAAGGTTTGAGTGAGGGAGAATGACACCTTCTGAGTCCAGTGGTTGTGGACAGCTGGAGAGTGCTGGAAACTCTGGAACAGAAATGTTGCCTCCAGAGAAATTCGAGGTAGATAGGTGCGTGGGGTGGATTCAAGCACGTGGGGCTGACAAGGTGAGATAATCCAGGTTATATTTTTATTGAGACTGGAGGACTTGGGATTTTTTTAGTCGGGTTTAGTCAGGATTGGGCGAGATAGGGTGGGTTGGAGGTCACTAGACGCCATTCAGGCAACAGAGAAATGCACGTACACCAGTGATCGTACACGGGGTTGACCTTCTGGGTAGTTCTGTTGGATAGTGGAGTTTCATAAATAGCGCCGCCCCGTTTATGAAATTCGAGGGAGATAAATCGAATGGAAATTGAATAATTTTGTAAATTTACTTTCATAATGTCTTGAAGTAATTAGAGTTTCATATGAAAATAGGATGATTTGAGCCAGAATTTTGAATTAGTTCTTGAATGCATTCCAGGTGTGTTTACAATTTCCGGACTCATCTCTCAGAGACTCTGCGAAGATAGCCCTCCGGTTCGAGGAGCTCCTAGGTAAAAAAGTTTATATCCTTGGGGACACGACTTGCGGAAGTTGCTGTGTAGACGAGGTTGCTGCAAATCATATAAATGCTGACGCAATAGTGCACTTCGGTCACGCCTGTCTCAATCCAACGTCCCGAATCCCTGTCTTCCACATTCTCCCCAAGAGAGATATCGACGTCGTCGCCGTGGTCAGTCAATTCGAGAGTTCTTTTCCAGACGCTGACGAGAAGATTCTCGTTTTTTATGATGTCTCACACGCCCACCAGGTACATGAAATCTGGGAGTTGTTGAGTAAAAAATATAATAAACTCGTCCTGACGACCCTCAACTGCACCTCGAATTTGGATTTCGTGGACACAAAAATCTCTTCGAGTCCCATTGTGTCTGGTCGCAGTTGGAGTGTTGAAAATGGCTATAAAACAGAAGAATACACAGCTGTGTTCATCGGTGAGAACGACAGGACACTGGCATCTCTGGCCATGAGCATTCCCGCGAAGAGCTGGTACCACACATCAGGTCTTGCCCTAGCAAAATTCGATGCCATCTCGAGTCCTTGGCTTAAACGTCGAAGATACTTGGTAGAAACATTGAAAGACGCCAAGACAGTGGGAATAGTTGTTGCGACATTGGGAATAAAAAATTACCTCGAGGCTCTCTCTTCTATAAAACAAATACTGAAAAAGAAAAAGAAGAAATCGTACATTTTCAGCATCGGAAAAATCAATCCAGCGAAATTGGCGAATTTTCCTGAGGTCGATGCCTTCGTTGTTATAGCATGTCCAGAGAGCGATATATTCGATTCAAAAGATTATTTCAAGCCTCTGCTAACTCCTTTCGAGGTAGAACTGGCCTTCAACAGCTCCAGGGAATTTTCTACCCACTACTGCCTCGATTTTCGCCAGATTCTCCCCGATGGGTCGAACTACGTAGAGTTCATAGCTTCGGCAGGTCCAGATCTCTCTCTGATCTCCAATGGCATAAGAACTGAAGAGCCTGAAATTTCCACCGAAACAATGAGTGCATTAGCTTGTAAAGACAATGGGACTGTGGCTATTGGCAAAGCTGGGGCTAATTTCCTGGTGAAGAGATCCTGGCAGGGACTCGAGCAGAGAATAGGAGAGGACGAGGTTAAGATTGCAGAGAAGGGACGACGTGGGCTTCCCGTTAATTATGAAAATGAACCACTCCACAAAGCTTGATAAACTTGATTCAAATTAATTGAAGATTAATTTATTTGTACAATTATAATAATAAAACATTTTTCTATTTGTTAGTGACACCATCTGAATTACTCTTCATTCAACGAACAAACATTCTTCATTCACCAAATATTTCGTTTCGAAATGCAAAAACAGCAATAAATAATTGCTCGATGAATTTACATCAATTCTGAACCTTTGGGGTCGCTGGAGAGGACTCCCTTTATCCTCAACTCTGCCTGAGCCTCTTCAATTTGCTGGAGAATAAAAAATAGCGTAAAATAATAATTCTCTCTCATGAATAAATCGCTTAACACAAATTATAGGTCGTATTTACCCGTTTGAGCTGTTTAGCTGCTTCCTCACAATTATTGAACGTAAACGTTCTGTAAAGTACAACACTCGCTGCATACAGTGCAAAAATAAATAGCAACAACACTGGGAGGTATAAAATAAATTGGTAATTGTTTGAAATCCACGGGGAATTCACTTGCCCTGTGATTGCAGCTGTCCAGGTGCCCAAGAACAAGGCGAGACAGAAGAGCCACTCCATCAATTTCGTCATCTGATAAGAAATCAATAGCTATTCGTATTTCCACAGTTAAATATCTACAAAACCATCAATGAAATGATTTACCTCTGGTATTTGCAGTTCTCGGAATTTTTTCACTAGTGATACAGTCCTTATATTTTATATTAGAATTGTTAAAAATATTGGGAGGAATGTTGTTGACAGAACAGATAACCTAAGCCAACCTCATGCCAGGTCGCCAGGTTCACGACAAACTTCATTATCAACAGCTGATTAATTTTTTAAACAAGAGACGAACATTTCTGTAAAAAAATCTTTGCTCTTTTAATATTGGGGGACCCTAGCAACATTTTTTTAACAAAACACAAACGATCAATTAGTGATCGAGACTGGATTGACCTGCAATCATTGAAATAAACGCCTCCAGCTGATAATCCATCAATTGAGTCGTGAGGAACTTGATCTCGAGGATGTCGACGAGAGCGAGTAGCAGGTCTGACAAGAAGAGTGACAAATCCCCGAGGATGGTCCCCCAGGTCGACAAAAAGAAGCGAAAACGCAAGAGGAAGGAGACGTACTCCACTTACATCTACAAGGTCCTGAGACAGGTGCAACCGGACATCGGTGTGTCAACCAAGGCGATGAGTATCATGAATAGTTTCGTCAATGATATTTTCGAGAGGATTGCCTCTGAAGCCGCTCGCCTCGTCAAATACAATAAACGTCGCACCATCGGATCCTCGGAGATCCAAACAGCTGTTCGTCTTCTGTTACCTGGAGAACTTTCCAAACATGCAATTAGCGAGGCAACAAAAGCCGTCTCCAAGTACTCGCTGTCCAAGTAACTCCTGGAGTCAACTATCGACTGTTTATTCTTCAACCGACCAATAATTATTCCCAAATCAAATGATGAAATTCTATAAATCATTGGAGATTTTTCTCGACAATAAAAACAATACGATAAAATATCCCTATAATTGAATTTCGAATGAATAATTAGTGCGCATTCCGTAAGAAGTCGTGAGTTCCTTTTTCTCGTTGAAATATTTTCAGACAGATGGCAGTACCAATTTCCTCCCACAACTGGCAACAAACTCGAAAGGAATTCCACCCCTCCCACGGTTTTCACTATGGAATAGTTGAGTGTCCTGCCTTATTGCAAGCTTAAAACTCTAATTACTCTTGATAATAGTCTACAATGCAAGTACACTGGATAATTACCTCGTCGTGTGCGTTCCTCTCTGCCGGAGTGTCTGATTAGTGAATTTAAGCCGTGAATTCTACTCTCACCTCGTTAAACACTATACAAAACTACATAACAAAAAAAAAATGCACCACAACAGGAGAAAGAAGAAGAGGATAAACTACGGGGTGAGAGCCGTTGAGTTGATGAGAGGTTCGAAGGGTTTTGGTTTTACAATTTCGGGTCAGCAGCCTTGCATTCTTAGCTGCATAGTGGCAGGGAGTCCAGCTGAAATAGCTGGACTGCGGGCAGGTGATTACCTGGTGACTGTCAACGGTCACAACGTGGGGAAAGCTCCTCACGACGACGTTGTTCGTCTGATAGGTCATTCCAAGGGTATCCTCAGGCTCCAGATTGCGGAGAACTATTATTCCGACTCCTCCGACGAGGAGGGACCTGCGGCCTCGAGATCAAAACCCAAATATTCCCATAAACAACGGAATTCCAATGCAACACCTGTGGCATCGGGACCTGCACCTGCAGGGCAATTGCAGTGCAGGGTAGCCAAGGTTGTGAGGGATCTCCAGAGTGGTGCCATGTTCACTGGTGGTGAGGGTGAGAGGGTGGTGCAGAGCAAAATTTTGTGCAGCCAGAATGGAGTTTATCATCGATGGAATATGGCTAGTGCTCCACTACCTCCACCTCCGCACTCACATAAGAGGGATGCTGAGAAAATTGTGCATAGAACAGTGGTGGGATACCTGGGGACCATCGACATACCCAATCAGCTGCATCCCTCGACGATGATGCCGGTGGGTTGAATTTATTGAAATTTTTTGCAGGGAATTAAATCTGAGATTATATTTACTCCTCGAATCAATAATTTGGCTATTAAAATAAAATAATTATTTCCTTTAATTTTAATTTCAGGTCCTTCGAAAATGCATAAAGCGTTTGAAAGCAGAGAAACGCACACCTACAACAGTTCTCCTGACCATCCACGTAGCCAACATCAAACTGACAAACTCAGAGAACAAGATAATCGCGGAGTATCCCTCTCACCGAATAGTCTTCTGCAATTCCTTCTCCGAGCAAGATAAACAGTATTTCGGGATAGTGACAAAATCAGCAAACCACACAGACGAGATAGTCTCAAACTCTTGTCACGTGTTCACGATCTACTACAAGCTTATAGAACATGCAGTTCACCTGAGTACCTGCAACATGTTCGGATTCACGTGTACGAAGACATCTGAGCTGACGGTTTGCCAAGAATTTCCTGACAGTTGCAACGGTCTCATAGGAGCCATCCAGACGCTTTACATATCCGAGACAACGGATTCAGAGGCATTTCCAGAAAGCAACAGAAGACAGAGACGAGAGGCTGTCTCACCTCAACCCTCGAACATCAGTACCTCGACAGCTCACTCCTCCAACAGTGACTCAGGAATTGGTTTCAAGGATGAATATGGCAGCCACTATTCGGCGACAGAACGCAATATAAATCTCGATTTTTCTCATCGAAGACTGCCAATACCGTCGAACTCTCGATTAACAGTTCGTGCAACTCAGGACTCACAAAATGAGCGGGGAATATCGAATGGGGATGGGGGCACGAGGGATGGTGGGGACATCACCTGCCCCGGGCCATCTGCCGCACTTTCAATGACCAAACTCGATGCCTCGTCAGTCGGCTCCTCAACATTCTCACGTACTATTGCTGGCATGCTGCGCACTGTTGATGCCGAGGACATGGAGTTTTGTGATACTGCCGGTGATAAACTCAGTCCCAAGGTTTTCAACGCATCAAAAACACTGGTGCATAGCATGGAGGACCTCAAGAACGAGGGAGAGGCTGTAGATGTATTTGCAAAACCTGCTGATGTCAGGCCCTGGGGTAGTCTGCAGGAGATCAGAAATGTCGGAGGCTTCCAGTCCAATTCTTCCGTGAGTAGATTATCCAATTTATTACAAATAACATAAACAAATTTGAATACATCTTTCGTTGATTGAAATGATCAATCCAAGAGATCAAATGATTACAACAAAGGACAACTGCCAGAGGTTTGAATTGAATGAAAAAAGAATAAAGAAATTTTGGAGTAGAAAAAAGAGCGAAAAACAATGAACTGCGTGAGGATTTAGTTTCCGCTAGCAATAGGTACTCTACCGTGTCGGGTATTGAGGCCGCGTCATCATTTCCTGTCTCTTACAAGCCCCCAGACGAGAGGAAAAATCCCCTTCTCTCGGCAGTTGCACAAGTGAGACCGAGAACAAAGTCACACACACGTGTATTTAACTATACCGAGAAAGGAGTAACAGTTAATACGTACATGCCACAAATACACTGGCCCATGACGTATCGTTGGGGGCCCGACGTGCACGCTGTCAAAGCAGTGGCAAACGTCGGTGAGAATTGTTGCTCTCTTGTGTGTTCTATCATACCAGGGCGCCGCCCATTTCATTTACCTCCAAGACAATATTTCTTTAGTCTCAGTTGAAACTCTGTTGTGACAAGTGTTGGTTATTTTATTCTTTATTCTATTATTTTATTCTACGTCATCAACTGGATCAATCAAATAAATGGGATTCCTTCAGCTCACTGGAAAGCGAGTGAGATATGGAGCGACTCGCCAAGTCAGTACGTAGGCTGTCTGGTCTAGAAAATTAATTCATCTATCTATTTTATAAATTTTATAGAGGAGACTCTCATTTGGATCGTTGAATCGCTTCATTAATAGTTAATTGTCTTTAGTTATATCAATCCTCGTAAATTGAAGTAATTGAGCGGAATTTGCAGCCCCATCGACCGTGACTGCATGCAAATTATTATTCTAGTGGGATTTTATTACTTCCTTTATTTGCATGTTTTGGTTGAATCTCTGGTGAATGAACTGTGGGTGGATTATTTGGAATAATTAGTTTTGGAGATTTATTGAGTGTTCTGACGAGAATTCTTGGAAGAGCCTGAAGAAATCAATTGAATTAGCGATCACATGAATCGACTACAATTGGCAATGAACTTGATGTTTCGGTGGCGATTGAATGAGTCAGTCGTCTGGGGGAAAACAATGTAATTGAATAATTACAAGATCCATTGGGTTTTCATTGCCGGAAGGAGACGACTGAGTGCGTGGGTTTCTGTTGTCGTTTCCCACGCATCACCTGTTGATAAGAGAAATTCTTCTTCTCTCAATAGAATTTAAAGTCCCTCGTAGAACAGAATCCCAAGTTTATCAATTATAAAAAATAATTAAAATCGACTCGAGGATGTGACTGGCATTGCGTGTAGTACAGATGAGGACACAAGATAAATGGAGACAGCAATAGTATTCACGAGAATTTATTTAATGACACAGTCGACTCACAATCCGCTTCCTCTTCATGTTTGCCGGAATTCCCCACCTCTGTTTACTCGGGCTTTTTCATCAATCAACTCAGCTGGTGCGATAATTATTCATTTTCTTCGATTATTATTCTGAGGAGGTGAGAGTAGAGGGAGAGGTGGAGAATTGTTCTCCACAACGGCATTCAAAAGTCCCACGAATTTACATTTCTATTCAGGACATACCACTGTTGGTTTTACTGAAAGAGTTTGAGGCAGATTCTCGAAGTAAATATTCCATCTCCCTGGACTTTTATTATCCATCAAATAACAGTATTTTTTTTTCAATTGAAATTCAATTTAATCAACTCCAGAATAAAGTTGTTTAAAAATCCTTCCACTCATGCATCCATTTGGAGTTCAAGAAGTAATTCTATTTACGCACGATCTGCAGTTCTGTTACTTGCGAGTTCAATGAGCCCAATTTGAATGATTGATAAATTTCGCTCTCGGGATTAAGGTCACTTCCGGAGAAACTGAGTCATCTGGTCAATTCGTATGAATTTAATTAATCACGAAGTCTGCAAGAATATTAGAATCCTTATTCAATGAAAAAACTGATGATCAGTTAGTTTGAGTGGCTTTTGGGGTCACCTGGGGTGCAATTCACAATGGCAACAGGGATTTAGGTCGTTGCTCTATTCTCACGGGTTGTGATCGTACTACTCGACATAATGAGAGGAATTAACGGGCTCTCGTGCGTGTTCGAGTTTGAGTAATGGAATATTTTTTTTTCTTTTTTTTCTCCAAATGATTATTTTTATATTGCAGTTGTATGGGAGTGTAGAGTCGTGCGATAAGAATGACGCTGGACTTGGAGTGCGCTCTTGGGGTGCTGGATTCGAGAATCTCTTGAAAGATCCAAGGGGACTCCAGACATTTGCTGTGAGTGAAATTATTACTAATAATAACCAATGAGTAATGAGAGAAAATAAAAATTTCCTCATTGATGGAGTGACAGGAGAAAAATTGTCTTTTCCTTTCCTAGGAATTTTTGAAGAAGGAATTTAGCCATGAGAACATCTACTTCTGGGCGGCTTGCGAACGCTACAAGGATACAGAGGACGCAACCTCCAGACGACGACTTGCCTGGCAGATATACCAGAGGCATCTCTCCAACAATGCTCCAGAGCCAGTGAACGTCGACAGTCACGCGGCAGGGCAAATTACCCAGGAGCTCCTGAATCGTGCCCCAGAGGAGCTCTTCCTCCAGGCACAGAAGCAAGTCTTCAATCTCATGAAATTCGACAGTTACCCTCGATTTCTCAAATCAAATCTCTATCATCAGTGCAAGGAGAATGGCATCGGCGTGAGAACGGAGGATCACGATCTCGATTTGACAAGTTCTCCAAGTGTTAAATTGAAGAAGAGTCATTCAGACGCTGAAGATCGATGCCGAAAGTCGATATTACCCTGGCACCGTAAGAACAGGTAAAAAAAAATTGAGTCTTGTGAATTCAAAAATATTTCTGTATTTTTGATTGTGAATCATTTTTTTATTTTTTGTAGGTCAAAATCGAAGGACCGAGGGGAGTCAGAGTATAACAAAACACCAAGCAGAGGAGAGCCCATATACAAGAGCTTCACAACAATAAAAAGGGATACAGAGGGGAATAACAACGATGACACCATCTCAATATCGAGTAGCAGATCATCCTTAGCCTCCTGGGACTTGGCATTGCGCCAATCCTTTAGTAAACACGTGAGTAATTGCACATTTTCTTCGAATCAATTCTCTCGAGACTTTTATACTGAATGTGGCGTTGTGTGAATTTTGTTTTTGCATCAAGCATTGTTTTTATTTGTAAATTGTAGTCACTGTCGTCGTACGACGGTCACAATGATAAAAAAGAGGTACAGACAAAGTGCACTGGCTTGTGCCGGGTTATTTTGCCCGATGGCTCAACAACGGTCGTACCAACAAGCCAAACTGAGAGCATTAAAGACGTGGTTACCCGGCTTCTTGAGAAACGGGCACTTCGATATACTAATTATGATGTTCTCGTACTGGCCACAGACGAGGTTAGTGCTCTCCATCTCTATTCTATTAAAATCCATATTAATTTCATTTTGCCTGAACTGCAATAACTACTGTGTGCTTGCATGATTTATTTCATGGTGATGGAGAGTAATGATAATAATGAATAAAATAATATTAACACTTGTATGATTTTTTAAATTAACAGTATTATAGAATAAATTATAAATAAATTAAATGTGATAAATTCGATGTCGTGAAATTCAAGGGCATTTAATTGTTGTCAATATTTAGATGATAAATCTGAAGTACTCATCATCAGTACTTGCTGGGCAAGAGGTGGAGGTGGTGCCAACCAAGGCTCTGAAAGTCGATTTGCCATCTCGTAGGATAATAACAGTTGTGGCCCACAAAAATCGAACATTGCGAGAAGTTCTCAGGCCTCTGCTCAATAAGTACGGTTTCAAGCTCGAGTTGATCACCATTTGGGGTGAAGGACATCCAGTTTCGTTAGAAATACCAGCGATTAATGCGCCCAGTCGACTCGTACTGACCTCCAACAACGAGGGTACATTCCTGTTTTCTAATTAATACGTTTGTGGCTGAATGGATTGAGCTAATACTGGGATTTATTGTGGATTTTTTAGATTTTCAGCGTGATAGCTTGCATTACCAAGAGGACATCGAGCAGGGCCAGTCTCAGCTGGACGAAATCACTAATAAAGTTTTTGAGGAACTTTTAGTCGGAAAGAGTACAAATAAATATTACAGTGAAGGTTCTTACAAGGTAATTATAATTTTTTTGACTCAATTTTTCGTAAGGAATTGTTGTTTATGAATTTTTTTTATTGAATTATCATAAGTCTGATGATCAACGCTCCGAGGGATCCTCCATCCTCTCCAGTAAACTGTTCACGAGGGATACGACAGTGCTTGGAAAGAAAAAGGGAAAATCAAAGAGTAGTAATTTAAGTGAGAAGAGCAATTCCACGGATTACACTGGAGAGGAGAGCTCACAATCGAGTAGACCACATGCTCCGTTAATCGCCAAGTGGAGAAATGGGGTCAAACTGCAATTGCCTGGAAGATTCGATGGCGATGGTAAGTGTTTACCCCTTCCCATTCAATTCTATAATCTCTTTTCTCCTTTCCTGATTACGTTTTCCTGCAGAATTGTACGAAGGACTGAAGAGGGCCCAGCGTTCGCGGCTTGAGGATCAGAGAGGAACAGAAATTAATTTCGAACTCCCCGACTTCCTAAAAGTACGTCATTGAAATAAAAATTGCTATAAAAATGAATTGAAATAATTTATGAACGAGTGGGAGAAAATAATTTCACTGAAATATTGAATTATCAATTTTTTGAACAGCAAAATAAGGAAAATGGTAAACACACAGAGACTAAGAAGCACCGGAGAGGTCGTCTCCTGGGCTTGAGCTCCGACTGCGCCTCAAAGTTCTACGACTCCAGTGACGATATAAAAAAAGCCAATCTAGTGTCCAACCCGGTCTTCGAGAAGTGTCACTACAATTCCGAGGAGGGTCAACCCATCTCGAAGCCTCTGGAGCCCTCCAAGAGGTTCGACTCTGTAAGCAGCCTTGATGGAACTTTGGAAGACGTGGACAAAACAATAATCGAAAACGGAAATGGGCCCAATCAGCCGAAAGATTCGTTTTTCGAGAATCAGTTTGTCACTGGCTCTCCGGGTAAATTATCAAAACCTCCACCACTTCCGCCCAAACCAAAGGGTTTACTCACTTGTGCTGTTAAGACCAGTCAGATATTACCGACGAAACCGCTGCCACGAGTTACTCAAATTAGTCCCATAACTCCGTTAGAATCACGAGAAAATAAAAATATATTTTAAATTCGGATAGTAATATTTTACTACGATAATGATGGGCTTCAGCCTCTGAAGGTATTTTCAATGTAACTTTCTACTAAAAAACCGAATTTCGCAAGTAAATTTATTCTCCAGCAGTTGTTCTCGAACCTAAACAAGTGCCTTATAATTTTTTTTACAACAAATTGCAATCATTAATTGTGATGAGAATATTTCGAGAGTATTTTCCTGGTTGTACAGGATCGAAATTAATTAATCTATCGTTAATTAATTATTTATAAAATGTGAAAGTTTATAACTAATTGGATAAATAAAACGATTCATTCCATATACAGTCCAATTTACCATATTCCAATTATCCCGCCTATTTTTCAATTTCAAAAAAATTCCAAATTGATTATTCCTATTTTGTAATTAATTATAACAATTGGAGTGAAAGTGTGGGAATAATAATTGAAATATTCAAATGTCAAGATCGAAACATGCGCGCGTTGCCCTCAGCCAATGAAAACGATGAAATGCCCTCGACAGTAGCGCCAAGACGACATTTTACTGAACGATTTATTTAAGCATTCTCAATATTTGTCAACAGTCAGATTAGCCGGTGCCTTAACGATCTCGTCTCATTACCCCATAATCTCGTATATATCACTGTTTACATTGGTTAATCGATACCAAAGGTAATTTGTTGAAATATCCTGGATATCCTCTCAATTCTATCGCGACTTTCTTCGAGTGCAAGTGAAACAAATTGAAATCCCCGCAAGTGCTACGGTAGACCCTCACCTCTGGACATTCTCTCGGCATTTTCACTCGATATTTCATCGCCGAGATAAGAGCATCATAATTAATTAATCTCTTTATCATTTCACGATATTCTGTGATTTCCCCAAATTGTCCTAGATTTTTTGGCGGGATTCTAACCCTCATTGGGTGAAAAAATTGTTGCGTGTCCGTTGCTCTTTCCCGCCGAGAAATTTTACGGTTTTGCCGAGATTGTCCTCATATTTTATTACGGAAAACTCATGATTGTTCTAAAAAGATCAATGAGAGGGTTAATAATTGGTTAATGGTCGATCGAAACGTCCGAATAATACGTGAGTATTTTTTTTCCAACCGTTATTCCATTCTCGGAAAATTGGCATGACTACCGCTCGTTGCCGCTCGAAAAATCCTACAAAAGCGCATCGTCAAAACAAATCACAAAAACAAAGGAGGTAATCACTAATTCAAATCAATCAGATTAGCCACAAATATAGCAACAAATAGAGCAACAAATAGAGCAACAAATACGAATTTTAAACAGTGACTTCTGGCCATTTGAACGCTTTGTTCCAGAAAAAAAATATATAATTGTCCCAAGAGTATCGATGAACAATCGATAGTCAACGGATAACGAAGTGCAAAAAAATGAGGTCGAAGGGACGAGTAATCAATAATAAAAATAGAATTAATGAGAACGGGTATAACGGCCGAATTTCTCAAGTTTCTCAGCATTTGGACTCGATTAGCAACTGTCGTAGCCTCTAACAAACCCTTCGATTTCCCTCTCGTGTAACGTGAGCTATTGAACTAGCAAAAAAAAATGTCCTCACAGCGGGAAGTGTCTCTTACACGAGAAAAAGTGTATCAAAGGGTTCGTGCGGTTTAAAAAAAAGTAAGAGGAAGCGTGAAATTCTATGTGAGCAGGAAAGAGTGAGAGAGCAGAGGATAGAACTCGGTGCGGGAGAGGGATTAAGTGTGCGAAGACCGTTGGAAACATTAGACTAAATCCACCGGATATTTTCTATCCATCAATCTAATTAAAACTCATTGAAACTAAAACAAGATGAATTAAATTGAAATTCCACAAAAAAAATCCAATAATCCAATTCCAAATCAATTGAATAATTGTCTGAAGATTAATTAGAGTCTGACCCATCAAACATCAGCTGACAATCGGTAATAACCAGTTATTCATAAATAAATAAATAAATAAATTTGATCGCGAGTGCAATATTAATCCCAAATTTTTTTGAGGTAGACTGAAAAATTTCGAAAGATTGATAATCAGTTGATAATTTTCACTAGGTCATGAGCATTTAATTAAGTGAGTGACATTGAGACTTGAAGAATCCGAATTCCCCCAGATAAAAAAAAACCTCAAATCCCAACGGTCGTTTCGTCTGCAGTCATAAAGCCACGATTGGCTCCCCACTACAGATGAACATTTTTTTTCTCGTGGGCATTCATCACCATCCACCTCCCTCCCACGTACATTCGCAAACGTTTTCATTCTGTTAAGTCACATATAACGCTCGATTTCATTTCAACGGTCGGCAAATATTTCCTCACCGGTCACTAACTCCTCTCCCTCGGGTGCACCGATGCATTGAGTGCCCTTGCCCCTTTCATTTAAATCCCAGAACGTTATCTCCCTTCCGGTGAGTGTTTTATCAATCCTATTGATAGAAGTGGAAATTCAATTCACGTATGTGTTTATTTATTTTCTGCCACACTAGCCATTTAATTCCCGGGCATTTAAATGGTTATGAGGATGTTTTGGAGCAAATGGGAGCTTTCGAGAATTCGCAGTTTTTTTTATTCTCCGCTTCTGTTAAATTCTCGACTATTTAACCCCTCGATCTCTGGGGCCAACTGTCGTTATCCCACGTATCTAAAACGCACACCAACACACGAAATTGTCGATTAAAAAACTCTTTGGCAGCACCACAGGCCCCTAATGATAACGAAATTCAATTTATTTCTCCTTTGTGAATTACAATGGTTCAGAATGAACTTCTATTTTTGAGCATTTGAAAAACACCAAATGCTAAATTTCCATTCGAATAGCTATTGATATTCACAACTCTTTCATAAACATCGAATAGTTCTCTCTTTTGTGAACAGGGCGTTTATTGACACCCATATTTACCCTAGTGCTCGATAAGGCCTGGACTACATCCGTTGCCCGTTTCTTACCAGCTGATTAAATTCCTCGACGAGTCTGATATATTCTCATTCTTGTTTTCAGTTGAGTCAACTGGAGCACACCTAGAGACACTTGAGGACACAAGTGCCAGAAGATAAAAAATTCCCGAAATAGAAAAAAAAAAGTAGAGTAAAAAAGTGTTTAGTGTTAAAATTGAAAGGGCAATCCCTGAGTTAATAAAAATTGTCAATAAAATAGACAAAATAGTGAAGTGAAAGTGTGAAAATGCAGGGAATATCGACAGGCCCGTTGGAGAAAATAATGGAGGAGAGCGGTTATGGTTCACCCATAGGGAGACACCAGGGAACTTCGATGATGATCTCCCCAGTTGCTCAGATAGCCCACGATCTCAGCAAATCGAGTCTCTCCGGTACTCCGACCTACGATGGACGTCACAGACTCGGTGAGTCGTTGTATTTCGTCAATTTATTGTTTATTAAATGTGTCTGAGGAAAAGGGGATGATCCAGTTTTACGGTGAACGGGTTTCGATTCAGATAGTCGTAGAGTTCACGATGGGACGGGACGTTATAATTGTGAGGGGTTTCCCCGTCCTTGAAAGGCATATCTGACGTCTGCTCGTGTCTTCCACCCGGTATCAGGGGTTCTCAATTATTTCCCCATATTTATCGATATCTCATTAATTTCAAATTTCATCGTGACACGATTTTTTTCATTTCGAAAACAAAAATTAAATTACAATTAAATTGATTTCCGTTTTTTTTTTTTATCTGAAAACCAAATTATTTACTTCATTTGTCGGCACTTGGAAATGATGGGAGGACGGTGTCCCCAGGAAAAAAATTCCGTCCCCTGTAAATCCGCTAATTAGCGAAATTAATCGACGAAAAATAGAGTTGAAAGGGTTGAAGTTTGGATTAATCCTCGGTAATAAAGTAGCCGCGAGGGTGAGAAAGTGGGCTGAGAACCCCTCGGGGTTGTGGATAGAGAGAGAGATGGACAAGTAGCTCGTGCTAGCCGGGTTGAAGACCAGGTGCTCACCTGCCCCTCACTATGGGTGGCTGTCCCCGGCGCCCCCTTTTTTACCAGGGAAACCCTCACACACACACCTATTCCAAACTCTCAGGTTGTTCTTCCTCGTCGAGGTGTTAGTTTTTCTGTGCTCCGTAGGTATCCGCAAAAAGCCCTCTTGGGGCACTGACCTACCCTTATCCTGAGAGAGGAAAGACCGTTAGGCCTAATCAGCTGTTTAGATAATCACTTATTTCGCAAAATTGATTGATGACCGAATCAGGAATCAGTAGAAACTCTGGAATTATTCACGAGATTTGCGAATTTATTGCTCTTTATTGAATCACTCATTATTAGTGTAACTACAGAATTATTTATTTATTTATTTTCTCTTTTATTTGAACGTTTTTCGAATCGAAAACTAGAATTCACATGGAAAAAATCAGATTGCCATTCTTTTCACTCCATTCTTTTGATATCAACATCTGGAGGAACTGTCGCAAATTTAGGGGATCTTTTCAGCAAAAAAGAAGAATAGAAAGGTGAAAAAAAAAACGAGTGATCTTTGAACACACCGTATCGCACGTATTCTTACGTACATATTTTGCCGAAGGGTGCAATTCTTGAGGGGTGAATGCGTCTGCTCTTCTCCCCTTCGATCTTCCTCGCCTCTTTTCTTCGCCATTGAGTTCAACTGTCTCCCGATACACTCGGTGAATTTAAAGGGACAGACATTTAAACTTTAAAGAGCACAATTCTTCGTCTCACAATGGGAGACACAAAAAAAAAATTGGCCAAACTGTCGTTAACGTCGTCAGTCGAAATATTAACAGTTTAATTTTGCAGATTGAAAAAAATTGAGAATTTTCTTCTGGTGCCGTGGAGTTGACTTATTCTAGTTAATTTATTCTTAGACAAAATTTATTTTTTGGTGGATTAGGGGAAGTTGTGGTCTTTGACGTATCTCATCATCTGTTTCCTCGATCTGTTAACCCATCGAGATCGATCCAATCTACCGACAATTTGAGAAACCCCCCAAATGTATCATAACAAGGGCACCGTATGCAGGCGTTTCGCCTCGTTGAACTAGTGTGGCTTGTGTCCAACGGAAAACGTAGGCACGAGTCCATGTAACGCAAGGTGGAAATGCCTTATGGCTTGGTTTATTCACCTGTTCATAATTCTATCCACGGGGGCGTCGACTTTCCATGTCTCCATTTTCCTCAATCCCCTCGATTCCTCATGAACTCAGTAACGAGTGCTGTGGGTCAGAAGTCCAACAAATTTTATCCAAAAGTCCAACGAATTTTATCTCAAACCCATCTATGAACTAGTATTCAATTAAGGGTGTTCTACACCCATCTAAACTCAAAATTCATTTTTTTACTTTTTTTTTAGCAAATTATTGATGAAATTGATGTAAAAAAACATAACGTTTTTGCGTTTTGGCATTATTTGATACGAAGTTTCTTGGTGATGCGAAAATTTTTCTGTATTTTTCCTAAATTTTGATAAAGAATGATAGAACTGTGGAGAAAATCCATGATGGCACAACTAGAAAATTTCATGAGTTATTAAATAGTGACAAAATGCAACAACGTTATATTTTTGCACAGAAATTCAACCGATAATTAGCCAAAAAATGTAAAAAACGTGAATTTAATTCCCCCGGATCTTGTAAAAGTTCATTCTCCCCCTCAAATTAGAATAACCTGGTCTGAATAATTAAATCGCCGGTTGGGACTCGCAACTTCATCGACTTCTCAGGGAATATCAACAATTCGAAAATGTTCAATTCAAAATTCCCTCCCATCTCATCATCCAGAATATGTGTTCAAGTATTCTAATCAAGATTTCATCTCTGAAAAAATCTGAATAACACCGAAGAACAAGTAATAGGGACAGACGCACGACTGAGACGATTGCGGGACCTTTTTATAAAAAAAAAAAAATTAGCATATCCCGTAGGGCCGGTAATGCAGGTCTCGCAACATTTACGAAAGTCTCTTTTCGGGGTACGTACGGGCGTGCAACCCTTAACGGTCGCGGGACCGAATTGCTAATCAACTTTTTATTTCTGGTCCTCATTCTTCTCGGGTGAGCCAACTTTCCCCATTCTTCGCTTTCTCTTTATCCCACTCGTTTTATTTTATCTCCAACTTATCCCCCGGACTGATAAAAGCTTGAATGCGATGGGCCGACAATTTTTTAAATGAGAAACAATGAGAACATAAATGAAGGGATTTAATAATCATGCAATTAGTAATTGACGTTGATCTCGTACGTCGGTGACATCCGCAGAAAAGGTGTATATGGTGTCCATGTATATGTATAGATCCGTTGGATGAAAAATTCGTTGGGCGCGTGCCGGCTGCGACTCACCCCTCGTAGTTTGCCCTCACTCTCTCGTTAATACTCAAGACCGGAACAACCACAGTTGCCCGACTTACCCCCTGTACAAGTACACTTAATGTACATTTTGGCGAACACCCATTGCCAAGTTATTTCACTCTGAAAAGCACGATTCTCTTGAATCCGAGACTGAAGAACCTTTGAGATGACTGACGCCAAATGCCAATATCAAGAGTTTCACCCTGTGCCCCTCAAATTTTCACTCAAGGCGTTATACAATTGTCTTAGACATCCAGATGACAACCACCCTTCAATTAAATATAGGGAATATAATGTTGAGGATGTTGAACCGGTGTTTCCTCGATAGTTGCGGCCCGATGGGCACGACATACATCTAGAAAGAGATGGTGAACACCCGGTGTGTGCAGCGACTATTACTAAGTGCACGGGGATCTAACGCTCATTTGGTGCACCATATGGTGGCGCCAACTAATTCCGTGCATGCACGTTTAATATTAACTGCTGGCGTGATGTTTTCAACAGGAAAATATTGTTATCACTTTTCCACACGCCAGGATGACTTCTGGATGAAAATAGATGGCATTCGGGGGTTCCGCGGAGGCGCCCCATCGATTCGCCACAGTCGAAAATCGAATGATAATTCATTCAATGAGATATAATTAATGAAAAATAGTAAAAGATCATGAGCCCCGGAAAAAGGCACGATTGTCATCCACCTGGAGGTGGGGCAATCGGATCGATGAATTACGACAAACAGAGAAGTTATACGTCGATTACGCAGTCAGAGGAATAAAGAAGGGGAGTAACAATGACTCGTTAGCGCCTGAGTATATAGAGTTCGTGTACATAGAGTTTATGTACATGAGGAGCATTCATGGAGGGAACAAATACGTTGGCCACGAACGTTAATGCTACCCTGGCACGCGTTATACGTGAATCAGACTGGGTTGTCTGGTATCTGGGATGAGAGGGTGCCGCCAACAAAGATGCTCCCCCGGTTTGCTCAACTCCATGATACAGTCTGACAAAACCTGAATAACCCGAGAGACCGTTGAACGTGGGAGTTTGGCTTAATAGGTGCATTCACGTTGTTCAGATAAACGCACTGGCTTTTTATTTTTATTTTTACGAGATCGTCCATTGGTCATCCACGTGAATTTTTTTAGAATTGTTTGAGATTTAGGCACGTCGATACGTCGAGATATTTCGATATCGATTTAATTCTCCTTTTTATATCAGGATTTTTACGAGATCGTCCATTGGTCATCCACGCGAATTTTTTTAGAATTGTTTGAGATTTAGACACGTCGATATGTCGAGATTTCTCGATATCAATTTAATTCTCCTTTTTATATCAGGATTTTTACGAGATCGTCCATTCGTCAGCCACGCGAATTTTTTTAGAATTTTTTGAGATTTAGGCACGTCGATATGTCGAGATATCTCGATATCGATTTAATTCTCCTTTTTATATCAGGATTTTTACGAGATCGTCCATTGGTCATCCACGCGAATTTTTTAGAATTGCTTGAGATTTAGGCACGTCTATATATCGAAATATTTCAATATCGATTTAATTCTCCTTTTTATATCAGGATTTTTACGTGATTACGAGTCCATTGGTCACCCACGTGAATTTTTTTAGAATTGTTTGAGATTTAGGCACGTCGATATGTCGAGATATCTCGATATCGATTTAATTCTCCTTTTTATATCAGGATTTTTACGAGATCGTCCATTCGTCATCCACGCAAATTTTTTTAGAATTTTTTGAGATTTAGGCACGTCGATATGTCGAGATATTTCGATATCGATTTAATTCTCCTTTTTATATCAGGATCGCGTCTGTGGAAAAGGGATAGACTAGCATTTTAAAAATAAAAATTGGCTCAACGCTGGGTTTTGTTACGGTGGGGTAACTTCCACCTGTTTCGTGCGGCTAATGACTTCAACACATGGCACCGTTTCACTTTAATCGTTTTAATTCAACTCCATGGTTCATTACGAGAATTTGTTAATTTTGGTAATGATTTTCGAGGCCTGGATGAATACTGCAAAATAAATTGCAGCACTGGGAATGGGGTGAAGCGCACGTGCTCGATTATTCCAGTGACAATAGAAGTGAATGTGGGGAGGAATAGATGAGGCGATTATCGTATGGTGATTCTCAATACAATAAACCACGAATCTCGGTGCACATGTGCGCTGCAGGAAATGTTAGATCGCCCCCAAGCCATAGCATTGCCGCATGGTAGGAAAACATCAAGGGGGAAGAAAAAAAAAATATGTTTGTAACGGTGGCACGCGCCCGTTGGCATCATTTACGTGACATCACGAAATCGATATTTCTGACGCCCACATTTGACGCGCACTATCAGCTGTAATCGTACTGCCTTTGGGATTATTTTGAAAGCCGGATGGAAGTACTTCCCAAACCGCTGCAACTATTTTTGGATGACCGACAAAAAAAATTGTCAGCATCAGTCGCAGCCTGATTTTTCATTCACCCCTGCATACTCTCTCCCCAAATTGAGGAAATTCTTCTTGAGTGTTCGAAAGGGCATAAAGTCTTGAGAGTGTTATATTTTTTAAACAACTGGCGGACAGATTGTCAAATAGAGACTTTCACCGATGGTTATCTTCAATTGTTAATTAACAAGGAGTAACTGGGAATGAGGACTCAGCATGAGGTGTCTGGAAGTCTCGGTGAAACCTTATATATGGATCGTGACCCCGAGTTCAATGTACACATACGTAATCGTAAGAAGTGGTGGGCAATATAACTCGGTTCTTCACTTCTCGTACTCGGATGACGGACATATGAGCACACATGGGGTGAATGTAGTCTCTCGCCACCTGGCACGAGTATTTTCTGTATACCCTACGGGTTTCTGCACCCCTCATTCGACTCCCTTCAATTTATATATAGCTGTGGGTACTGTCGCGCTACCAGTATAACCCAGGACTATCCAGGACTACTGTACATACCCCCCCAACCCCCTTTCAACTTGGCTCGTGCCACTGTATTGTGGTGGGGAACTTCCAGGACGAATAAAATGAGTTGAAAAAAAATAAATTTAATGAATTCTCGTAGGGGGCTGCTTTCACAAACCCCGACCTTCCTTCCCCCCATGCAAAACAATTATATATGTATTTTTTTTTCTGGATTATTGGGAGTTTGAGATTTTTTCATGGTAATGCGGAAAATTTATGCGAGCGTTACTCTCTGTTCGTTTCATCGTTTTTTTTTGTAGTTCAATATTTGGTTTGGTATATTGGGACGATCGATTTTTTCTTCATTTTTTTATCGAAGGACCCACTGGTGTTCAGTGATTTTTTTTTTCTAGTCGTTTCAAGGGAATGGGTTGCGTCGAATAAACATTCATCCAAAAATAAACGCATCCACCCTCTGATCAGGCCCCCCTGCCGGTTTTATATTTAGGATTTCCGTTGGCACGTGTCCCCCAACTTGTCAAGATTCCCCCGGAACTGGTCCTTCCCCAGACGCAGCTTCTTCACTCGTCAAACTCCAAACGTATAAATCAAGTCTCTCACAATGCATCCACCATATTCGAAAAAATTCAAATAAAATTCAACCGTAAGTTCATTTGATTCTGACTCCGCTATAATCCGAGTTTGAATAATATTCATGAAGAAGTCGAGGAGATGCTGATTTTTTCGTTGATGTCGGAGCGGATGTTAATGCGGCTTCCCCTGAAGGAGGGTGAGGGCACAGGATGAGGAGAGTCGTTGAGGTCAAGGTTGGCGATTTTATTCGGTGAGGGAATCCTCAGCTGCGATTTATCCTGACGTTTTCATTTGAATTTCTTAATCAATTCCCTCAATTAGGCATAGATTTTCTTCTAGTCCAGATGAAACGGTCACAATAAAAATTGAAAAGGTGACGTTAAATCGTCACGCCGAGTGCACCGACTTCCTGCGGATATCCTCAAGCATATCGTACCGCTCTATATATAAAAAATAAGAGGGACTATAAAGAGGGCTGCACTTTAACCTGGTGTTTATGGTGTGTGCCATGTGACACAGCATTCCTTCCCGAATAAATATATTTTTCCGTGTCCGTTGGGCTGCACCTCCTGCACATCCAAGAGTCGATAAACATCCCAGGGTCCTTGGACCCAACTAGAAATATCTCTCGGGATGTTTATCAGAGGACTCCTCAGTCGGTAAAAGCCAGGAGGAGCCCTTTTGGATGGTCAGTTGAGGGCCAACAGCTGATTCTCGTGAAAAAGCGGGAAGAATTTTTGGCGGGAAGGTGCTTCGCAGACGTCTGGACCTAATTGATGATGGGGCGACATTTTCATCTGCCCCAACGTATACCGATCTCTCAGATCGTCCTTCACCTTCATTCATCCTTTCCAGGGGCTGCAGTTAATTAATTTTTCCTGTTATTACTTCCCACGGAGAGATCTTTACACATGTGATAGCGATGCAGCATGTGTCTCTTAATGTCTGTCGGATGTTGTCTATTCAAGTATACTGAAATTTTTTTTTATTTTTGGGGTTCTCACCCCTTCGGTGGTTCTCATGTCATCTACGCAGCAGATATATACTGAATCAATAATCGGTTGAGGAAAAAAATACATTTTAGAAAGAAGTCTATTTCATTTGCGATTTCATGTTTATAGTACAAAAAAAAATTTCAATAAATTCGAATTTCCAGAAATTCTTAAGCAGATATCTGTCAATAAAAAAATTATACGTACGCGTTCGCTAGATATTTGAATTCCGCGTGCGTAAATCGTAATCTTCCTCATATTATTCCAAAAATCTTCTATTGAACCTCGATAAATCGATTTCCGGTGTGAAGTGTCATGTTTCGGAAGTGGATAAACCAAAAAGAGAATAGAAAAATTGGTGACAAAAAAATAAAGAGTAGGTTGTTAAGCTTTTGTGAAGCGCGCCTTACCCTGGTACAGTATAAGTGAGACAGTGGGGGTGAGCGTGAGATTTCTCAAGGTCTTATTCCACTGTACTCAACATACATGAGGAAAAATCGTTGGAAGGGTCTCACCAGGAGATGATCACATGGTACGCACATGCAACTATTGTAAATGCCAGTGTTCTGAGTTTACCTAAGCCCTGTGGGCGTTGTTTCTAGGAAAATCAGAATCTGACGAGTCAATTGTCTGCCAAAAATGATAAACCAATGCCAAATGCCTCTTCCTGTCACAAAACACCCCATCTCCCTGATCATTTATCCCCCGGATAAACTCGATAACAACTCCATTATTCCCGATAATCACATCAATTCCACCAATCGACGATTAAAATTGATATTATCTCTGGACTTCTCCACTCGTGATCCCGTTTAACTCACGAAAAAAGGGATGGTCTGATAGGGGAAATAGCTCTTGGTGCAGCTGGCTGGATGATTCATTCCATCACGTACTGCATTATCACAGTGCATGGGGTCACCATGACCCCAGCCATCCATGTATACACGTAAATAGCACCAGAGTATTCGTCATGTTCTGGGGATAGGGTGAGGGTGCGTGGTACTAGGGTGTGGCACAACGGTCCGTTCGAATTTCAAAATTTCATCCTGATGTGTGCAATCCAGCTATTTTGTCACTCAACCATCGATATCCGTTTATGTTACAGATCCAGGAGATAATGGAGGACGCGGATATGCTGATGAGAACAACGAACCGTGAGTGAACAATTATTTCCATTTTTTAATTTCTCCTTTCATCTTTTGAAATGAATTTTTCTTCAATCGAAAGCGGTTTATGCGCAATTTCGTGGATTATTTATTATTTATCCACCGTAAATATTTACTCTGCGGTACATAAAAGCGAATTGATCCACTCAAAAAATATCTCAAGTATCGGCACTGCACTGATGTTTACATGTTTGTGGATGTGTTCATTCAAGTTCGTTATATCCATCCCCTCGGACAAAAAAAAAAATACGATAGGAATTTTAGTAGGTGGGATTTAAACGTGCGATTTGTGCTCACTCGGTTTTCCCATGAGATCCCATTCATGTTGCACTCGTGCCCCCGTACCTTGTTTGAGGGTGAAAAAAAAAATGGTATATGAAAGGAGATTTTTGGTGGAATCGTAGACCGAGCCTCAATCTCAATGGATTGAAGGAGATTGAATCCAGCTGACTGGCGCCGTGCGAGGTAGCTTCCTCGAAGCCCCGGGTATTCTCTCAGTTTCTTTTCCTTTTTTCTTTCTCAGCCGTTTCCTTGATTCTGGGAATTGTAACCTCGCGAAATAAAGAGGGCATCCTCACCGGTATGTAAGATGAGGCCGTGAGTCGGCTCGTGCGCCAAAGGCACACGGTTTATTGCTCTAAGTAGTTCAGGAATGTTCTATTATGATGTATCATAATGGAAGTGATGCTGAATAATATTTTCTCATGGATCTGGCCGTTGAGATTTCATTGAGCTCGATGTAGATGACGTAGGACACGCAGGTACTCGACATGCGAAAAAAAAAAAAAATTAACAATACATTGTTCTTCATTGGCAATTTATCTTGTACTTGTACTTGAGCTATCCTCAAAGGACCATTGAACCCTCAAGAAGTGGGTGTGCGTCCAACCCCCGTCCCATCACCTAAAAAATGCAATAGTCTGATGGACAATGTCACCAGAGGTGTTTTTTTCTTTCTTTTTCGTCAATCATGAAGTTCCCATGAGCTCACGAGAAAAATGTCGGCTAGTTTACAAAACACTGTGTCTCTGGCCCCTTGGGTAACAGGTAAAGGTATTTCAGTTGCTCTCTGGAGTTAGAATGTTGGAATATAAGGTGAACTGGACACTGGTGCTAGGGGTTTTACAGCCACCAGACTTTTCCGAACATAAAGGGAGAAGGGAAAAAAAGAGAGACCTCCTGGCAAGTTCTACAACGAATTTTTCGGCATTTTTTGATGGCTCTCTGACAAGGTTTTCGGACTAGTCAGTGCCATTGCCACAATGACGTACTGCTGTTCGCCATTGTGATTCACCACTTGGTATTTTATTGGACAATTAGGTTGTCCCTGGGTTATGTATCTCGCCTGGTGAAAACAGAAAATTCCAATGGTGACGGTTATTTTCCCTTCGCACCTTTGTTTCACCTCAATTTTTATTTCATTAGTGTTCCTTTGTGGTTTGCCATTCTCAATGCACAATCTTTTGTCGGAAAAAAGGCTTTTTTTTTGGGAATTTCTTTGTCAGGTGATCCAGATTCGTCTCGATACTTTCCACGATTTCTCCGTATTTTCACGTTGGATTTGTCAAGAATATGGTTCTAGTCAATGGCATACAGCCATACACTCCTCAAGAAAAAAAATTAGTCATGCCTTGGAAATTCCATGTACTCCCAAGTATTGGCCCACCTAGGGGCCCGGAAACTGCCCTTCACGGGCTCGTGCTAAAAAAAAAAACATCTCACATTTCATTGTTCTATTGGTAAAAGCAAAATCACCTCGATTCACCAAAATTTATGCTCCAATTATTTCCAATTATCCACAACTCATCATGATTTTTTTTTTCACCCCCAATTCGAGTACCTGGGAGCACTTGTCGGTCCTGAGGAACGTGCCTATGAATTTTATGACGTCTCGCACTTTAAATTACGGGTCCTAATGGTTGTGATCCCTCAACGCTCGTCAACCACACCGATTTAACGGAAAAATGGATTTGCAAATAACCGTAACCGACACTCTATTTAAAAATACTAAAATTAACCACTCGATCACACGGTTATCACCTGAATTTCCTCGAACAGTGTCCACGAGTAAAAAATGGAAATGTGAGGGCTTTTTGGTAGGAAGTTGGGGGCCGGAAAGAAAGAGTCAACCCTTTTCTCACTGGGATTTCATTCATCCATTCATGCCATTCAGATGTGGACATACATCCGCCAGAGATTCGCCGCAAAGTGACTTTGTTCGGCACTTGCAACCGTTTCTCAACCGATTTTTTCAATTCCTTTCAACTTCCGGTGTTATTGGGGGTCCAAGGCCCACTCGCTCACTCGCCCACTCGCCCACTCGCCCACTCGCCTAGTCGCTCCCTCGCACGAGAGCAATTTGCAATTGCAAATTTTCATTCTCTCATTTTCTTATTTAAAAGCACTTTTCGGTGATTCTTTTGGAAGGTAATATAGCTGTTTGTCAGGGCAGTAGTTGCCTTGACTCTCTGGAGGACATACCAAGGGCCACCCTCGAGTAGAAACCAATTTATCCAGCTCGGAGTGTCCAACCCCAGGCGGCCAACCTTTCGCACCATGATTATACATTGGAATCTTTTTCTTTTCTTTCATCTCTCACTCCCTTTCTTTATTTTTTTTTCTCTCATGTTGCTTTTTTCTATCCTTGGGCCTTTGAAAATGTAACGGATAGTCCTGAGAAACTCGCCCGGGAGTGTCCTAACGATCAAATAGTTGCGTGTTGCCAAGATTTGGAGGTCTGATTCTAGATAGGACTGATTGCCGAGGGCCGATGGAGAGAATAAGTCAAAATGTTGAGAAAACGCGGGGGCCATTAACGGAAGTGCAATCATTTAAGAAATTGTCGACGTATGAGGTCCAAGGAAAACATTGGGTTCAATTTTTCCGGGCATTAGCATATTTTTTCAACTGATCGGCAATCATCTTCAAATTCCTGGCGATGATTTATCAGGATCTTAGGGGAGGAGAATTAGTTCTCGAATGATGGCTTTGGGGGAGTTGTTCCAATTGATTCGTTACGTGTTTTTTTTTTCTTCAAGTGGAACAATCGGGTGATTAAATCGATAAGTCTTAATCAGTGAGACGATTGCGATAATTAACATCTCTTTCGTAGTTGTTGTTACGACTGTTGGGGAGAAGAGGATAGAGGAGTTGGAAAGAGAGAGGCGTAGTAGAACGGAATTCTATGAATGAAAACCAAGAGTTGTTGAATGAATGAACTAGAGATGTAGTGGTGAGAGAGAGATGAACTGAGAATGTCTCGAAAGTTGAGAAACTTGTCGACAAGGGAGGTCCGTTGGCGGCTTCTCTGCATCCCCTCTTGGTCTCATATTTATCCCCGGAAAAATGCTTTAGGTATTTAAAGGCCACCATTCTGGTACTCCAATGTAAATGGAATAAGGGATATACATCGAAAGCCACTGTGGCACGTACACTGTGTGAATACATCGTGGATTTACAGTTTGCCGATCTCTTTTATTGTTCACGTGAAATTCTAGGCACGGGACAATAATACAGCCACCACCTACGACGTGGGAAACTGACATGATCCTCGAGTACACATTAACAATATTTTTTGACGGTTTATTGGGATTTTCGGGGTTAGATTGTCAGGTGATTACGGGAATAAAGGAAAGGAGTTCAATTATTGAATTTTTCGGTTCTTCTTGGATGTGGGAAAATCCGTTGCTTCACAATTTTTATTTTCCAAAGAATATCATTTCTTCAAATATTTCATTTCCGCAATTTTTATTTCACATGTTTAATAATAAATTTGAAAACACCGTTTCGTGATAAATAATTGCCAATGTCCTCGGCACGTCTTATCTGCAGGTGATTTTCTCGTGAAAGATTCTCAAGAAAATTGACGGTTCATCTTAAAATCATCCATCATCGTAATACCTTTGGCAAAACCTCGAGAATCATGTATTCCATCAAGAATTCTCTTGTAATCCCTGCTTGATTCCGAGTTCTCGAAAAAAGGGATAGAACCGACAAAAACATTCCGGGCCAACGATTGGTGTAAAGGGTTTGCTCTAGAGAAAGAGATATTTCGATTTTCCCAAGAGCAATACCTTCTCAGGACGGTCTCCAACGTTTTTACGCGCCTCCGCCGGTTCTCTTTTGTACCCAAAACCCAGTATATACGGTCTCTATCCCATGTACCCATGTGCTCAAGCCCGAGGGCTATGTCCACGAGTATAGACTACATTGTTTAGATGTTCAGTTACCCACGGGAATTTGGTACTCAAAGGGTTCTTTTTTTTTCAACCACTGGTCCACGCGTTAGAGCTCACACTAATCGATTGACATGTCACCCCATCAGGACGAAATTGCTCGAGAATCAGTTGAATGCCCACGGCCTACACCTTTTTCTCCATTTTTTTTAAAACCCAGCTAAAATTATACTTATCCGCTCTTTAATTTAACAATCCGTTCGTACACACCACCACGCAAACCGTCTCATCCTTTCGCCATGATAATCGTGTACCAGCCGTGACCGTTAAAAAATGAAGCAACTCGACCCAAGGACCCCCACCTTGAGGAGGAGAGCATGTATTGAACGATGTGTATGTGTGTGTGAAAACCTCTTCCCCTACTACTCCTCAATGGGCCTTGTTTTTCAAATGTACCGGTGAATCTGAAATACTCGGTGAGCAAGTGCAACCAGATGTATTTCACATCGCGAAGAAAGTTTTATACTCCTCAGAGTGAATCGATTATACGAGTAAACAGACGACCCTGAGGAACATCCCGGTGCAACCCAAGTGTTGGTTAAACGAAATATTTTTCCAAGTTGGGGAAATACGAGATGAAGCTTGAGGGAAGATAGATGATATGACAGATATGTGATGACTTGGCTTCTTCTTGTCGGCGTTGTTGAGACCCTCGAATATTTCCACTACTACTTGAACCACTACCTTTTTTCTATTCTGTTTTTCCTTGACCATCGCTCAGATTAACCTTACGGTTACTCATCTCTCATCATT